CACTTGTTGGTTGTTATTTTATTATTCTAGTACAGAACAAAAAATCGATAAAAAGATACAATTTCTGTGTGAAAATTAGTAGGTCAACTCGAGCAGCAATTTGTATAGTTTGACTACTTGATGCTCTCTCGTTCTGGTCACACGACATGAAAAAGAGCAATTCATCATTCTGATAGTTACAGAATCTCCTCATTGACAAAGTTTACACTGGTGAATGTGAAGGCGGTTTACTTCTCCAGGGAAATAGGCCTACTCATTCCGTTTCTTTGAAGGTCAAACATTATTTTTTTTTCTCATATTTGTAACGTATCTTGATGTTTTACTTAAAGAAAATCCAACCGTTAATTTTTTAACGTCGAAACTATTTAGGTTTACGTCAGACTGCTTTCTTTTAGTCTTTGAACTAACTATATATTGTTGGCTGCTTGTCTAATTGTATTTTCCGTAGTGTAGGTGCATTGTAAAAATATAGTTACAATCTCCGTAGAAAGTTGTACAATGGTTATTGAGCGTGACTGAGTAATAGCCCTGGCGATGTTCATATTGCTAGAATAATGCAAGTTTAACTTTTTAATTCTGTTTTTTAATATATTATCTCCCTTGAACTTGAGACATTTCTATCATTTTAGTGTTTCGACAAATATTAAATCTAAATAGAAAGCATAAGACACTTAAATTGTTGATATATTGCAATCTATGAAATAAACGATTGAAATAACAGTTTTTTAACATAATGTGCTGATTAAAAACAAAAAGATACCAACTGTTAACATCCTATATTCAGGTGACGGGAGATAACTACAATATAAATCCTTGGAAAACTACAACAAATAAACTGTTTGGGGCTGTGTGGACTCGTTGAAATAACACACTTAAAAACTGACAAATTATTGATAAGCTTTGAAAAAGATGATGAAAACAGTCGTGGCAGAATGGTGTAAGGTAGTAATTATTGGTTAAATTCAATTTTGATATCTCTATATGTCCTAGAATTTTCATTTTTTGAGTTCGTTCCCTTTAATAAGAAAGTGAATGAGCCTCACTGAGAATCTTCTTAGTCTTGTTTCTCAACCTTTATACCATTAACATGTTCGATGAAGCTTCTTGTTAAAGAAGTAAGAAATCCACGAAACTTTGGAAAGGGAAGAGAACTACATTTGCTGTATGTGTATGTAGATAAGACCATGGTCAAGTTTGATATTAGCTATATTTCGTTGAAGGGTGGCCTTCACAATGGTCAATTTAGAGACGTTTACTCGCACGCCCAGAGGAGCAGGCTTCAATCCCTGGTAAAACAGGTGAAAATTGGAAAAAGTTAAACCATTGCCTCTATCCTGACAACACTCCCTTCATGTACAGACGTCCAATCAGTAGGACGTACAGATCCATTGTAATTAAATGATTGTTTAATACCACAATATCTGGTTACTGAATTTCTCTTCATTTCACAACCTTCGTGCTTTAATTACAAAGTAATTGTTTGAGTTCAGGTGATGTTGATAATGTCCAAAAAAGGTCATCTTTATTCTATCTTCATGACAGTGTTATTGTGAAATTAAAGGTTTAGGTTATGTATATATATGTAATATATGTAATATTCTGAAGTCTACATCCAAAATTCATTTAAGGCTGCCACTGCGACATTTACATGTAATAAACTTGTAGTGTTGATGGTAATTGAACACGACAATTTCTAGATTTTCAACCTCTACTTTTCGTTTCCATTCATTTTCGTCTATACTATAGAGCTATAGTTCATTTCAGAATAATTATTTTGCTTTTCGAATCTAAAATTTGAGCCATTTAACACGTCGGTCAATCCCATGACATTATATCGATTATAAGAGTCTATAAGGTACAGATAAACTATTTATTATGTTATTACAGGAATCCAGTCGTCATATTATCGTCCTAATAACTGTAACAGATTTAAGTTAATGTCGACATTCTGAAGAACCATTTTCAAACCTTTTCATTATTCAAACAAAATGTCTGGAAAATCATGTAACAACTGTCTGATAGTTCAATGATACTTCGATCAATCACTGTGGATTAAAATTAGAGAACTTCATCCCTTTAAATGGTACTGTTGACTGTGTTATTAAATTTGTATTGATGAAATACTGGTTTGAGTCTGTAATATATTAAATCAGTCGACTCGCCTTTTTTATATCTTGGTTAATACACCATACCGATTGTTTTATTCTAATTTCTAGTTTAGGAAGACTGGACTTGTAGTCTATTGATTTTTATTTCATTTTCTTCGGATTGTTCTTTTTCTATTATTTATTATTTAAAGCATGCAGACAGTAAGATAAATAATTCGTGATTGGCTCTTTATCTTTGATGCACTCGTCAATGAAATGAAGGTGGATCATATCACAAGGAGATAACCATCTCTTACCAAAATCTCATTTTCAAATATTGGTCTAAAACCTATCAATTTTACCGAAATAAGGTGTAAAAGGCTATCTGAGCATCCAGATTAAAAAAATAAATTAATATAGTTTAAAAAATAGATAATAATAGGCTATATCTATGATACAAACTGATGGTATGTGATGTACAACGGAGACAAAGAAATACTTTTCTTGAAATTCCAAGATGAAACCAGTGGGAGTACGACAAACACAACCGAAACATCCGTGGCAATGAACATAATATCTTGAGAAGTTTCTTTAGAAAGTATCACTGGAATTCGCGAAACTGTATACTATTCCAGTTTCCAGCATACAAAAGCCGATTGCAAATTGAAGAGCACAACCTGGTTACTACAAGAGTTTAAATCTATAAATCGAAATGAAACAAAGCACATTCTGTAAGTCAAGGGTGCCAATGTAAAATTGAACATGATATTTGATAGAACTTGTAAATCATGAAATTATACAGGGTAAATCTCTCCAAGGTATTGTTATAATTATTTTGAAGCAAATTATGTCTTCAATTCAGCAATTGATTTTTTTTCTCTCAGGAATTCAAATTCCGCCTCTTGGCCATTAGTACTTCATCATTGTATTATTACCAATCTGTTTACTGTTGACTGGTACCAATCTTGAACAGTCTTAATCCGGTATATCTTGCTATAAGGTTGAATCTACACAGTTTCTAAAGATACTCACATCTTAATGATATACATGATGGCGAGGTTGCAGGATTAATCATGTATAATCTAGTCAGACAATTCGTGGAAGAGACTGAATTTAAATGTTAATGTTATTCATTTATTGTCACAGATCAAAACTGATGATGCCAGATTACGTATCACACTCATATCTTTCCTTGTAGCTATGTTCCTCTTAAACGGCTAACATGGATTAGGCCTAATGAAAAATTTCCGTGGCTTGTTTTCGACTAACGGTCTTTTGACTGTGATAAAACGTATCTACATTATTGATTTTAAGTCTTGGAGTTTAGACCACTAATAACTCATACCATTAAAGTATATTTACCAGTGGAACTTCGATTGTGTGTCGGACTGAAAGTTTTTATTATCGACTTTGTGGATATGGTACTAGCGCCGGTTGGAGAAAAGTGATCATTGTTGGTCTTCCGGTTAGTGATCAAGAATTCTGTTAATTCACAAGTGTAATGTATTTCAATTATTATTTCATTACAGAAAATACAAACGATTCTTAGATTTTTCGGTAAGGGAATCTTACTGTCGGCAACGAGTGCTATTTCAACTTGCAAAGTTTTTTTTTTTGAGTGTTTACTTAAAAGTCAAATCAATTGTGTACGAAATTCAGATTCAGCAGTTTCCAACAGATCGCTAGAAGAATCAATGGACCTCCGATAAGGTCTGTGATATCATTTTAACATACTTCGGTATTTTCCACTTGTTTTCGTTTTCACTTTTCTTATCAATAATTTAGATGAATTGTTATAAGTTTCCAGCAAGCAAGAGTTATTTTATGTGTATCGGATATAAAGTATCGGTATACGAGTTACTGACGGATCGTTTGAACCGTAATGGTTGGATAAGCATCTAATAATGATAAATAGGTTCAAGTTGTTTAACATGAAATGGATTAATATTCCTCGTGTACCGGAATATTCAGACAAGTAAATACAGTTTTGTTCAAGATTAACGAAAATGCTACAAATCTCAAATGATATCAAAATGGACGTGTAAATTCTGCTTTTGTTGACATTTTGAGAGGGTACCTCAAATTACGATTACTTCATAACATTTTGATTCCTGTTAAAAAGTTTGGCAAACCACTGACAGATTAGTAGCATTGCAAAGCTGTTTAAAATGTTTTTGTGGTTAGATGACATTCAGATCTGAACTAAGGTATTGTAGCCATAACAGGGCCTGCCATTTCAACTTAACAAACCAAAAATAACAGAATTATGAAATATGAGATTTCAAATGACATCAAAGTGCTGCAATTGGATATTCTGCTATCAATGTCTTATGATGCTGGTAATTGGATTTGACAAGTCATAACCCGAAGGGAAACAACCAATAGTGTATTGTACCAATAACATTAATGGTCTAACAGTGCTGTAGAATCACATCGTGGAGAAGTTTGAAGCAAATGGAGATCAATTGAGCGATACATGTTATACTGGAATTAAATAGATCTAAGAGATAGATTTCAGTATTTCGTGTTGCTTTATAGTGCTACTATCTATACACCCTTGAATGAAATAAACTGGAGATATTAGATAAAAACTTGATGAGTTTAGTTTTATTAGATATAAATTGAATTCTGGATTAAATAATGTCTTTGAACTGAAAAAATGGTGACGGTTAATGTTTGATCAAAGACTTATAGCGACACCTTGGTTTATATCTTTCGTTTTATTTTCTCTCTCAGAATGTGCTAATGTCGCGATAATCAGACTACTCAAAGATGGATATAATTGGATTTTTCCTTTCAATTTATGTGTTGATGTTGAATGGACTTTCTGTGGATGGCCAATTGATAAGTACTAAACTTTTTGCGGTCATACATCTACGAAGTGATCGCGACTACACCAAATATCTTCAAGGAATGGTTTTCAAGACGGTCAACAATAATCGGAGATTGAGTACTATCAGAACAGTGTTTCAACCATCGTCTAAAGTGGTGTTGTTAAAATACGAGGATAAAACTGATGTGATATTAAAGTTAATGTGTAATGAAATATTAAATAATCAGTTTCCTGTTTTATTACATATCAATAATCCCTATTATCATTTAAATAACCCGTCACAGAATACTTATATTAATATACTAACTAACTATCTAGGTGTTCCCTTACTTTCCTGGGATCCCGATATTACATCATTGGTAAGTAGATTAATTCATTTTAACCCCTGTACTGTTATTTCGCTCACTTAAAATTCAAGAGGAAATCAAATATACTCACGATACGTTTAATATTCGAAACACTTGCCTATATCATTAGATGAACTCCTGTCATGCTGTCAATATTCTCGTTTCATAAATCATGAAAATCTGCCATTAGGATATGTTGGACTTTTCACACTGGAACAAAAAAAATGTGAAAACATAGAACTGTTGGCGGTATTCTTTAAAATATGAGCCTGGCGCCACTAAGTCGAGTATTATGTTTTATATAACTAAATATACAAAAGATATCGTATTAACTTTATTGTGCAACATTATAGTTGCTTTCAGACAACTTCCTAAACATTCCGATTCACTGTCATAAGCCACTTCCGGTTCCAAAGACTACAAAGGAAATTACTATATCTTTTATTTTAATGTTGATGTTAGAACTTTGCTGTTGGTTTTCTCACGGCTGGTGCTTCACAGGGTTAATATAACCGCAGTGGACTTTTAATACACCACTGTACTTCACTTGCAAAGTCATCTTCCTTTTTCATTTCTGTTCCCCAGCTGTAGATGGATTCAAATTATGCAGGAGAATTAATTTTCAAAACAGCAGCTTGTACACTAAACCTGTGTAATTATTTTTGGAGAAAGCCATCAAAACGTCAAAAGTTACCATTATGTGGCAACAGTAATTATCTTCTGGAACACAATTTAGATTTGATGTTTCTGTTGTTGCAGGATGAAGATGGCAACATGTTATTATTATCACCTAGTATATCACTCCAGACTCAAGCAATATTTAGTATTTTACAACGGTATAACTGGTCCGATATCTCAATTGTAACAACTCAACATACTGGTTCTATAGACTTTATTACTTCTATCAGACAGTTAGTCAGACAGAGTCGATCATCAAAATTCAGGTAACATTCAGGGTTATTCCCTTACATAATATAACTTCTGTACAGTAATTATACAATATACTCTCTACAGTCATTATGTAAATAGACAATTTTAAACAAGGAAAAGATATCGGATCCCTTGTCGAAGCCCGACGATGCTTGGAGTATTAGTCTGTTCAATGATAACTGATGTACTGTTATGTTGGTCGTTCTTGTAGTGAACGCTGATTACCTTAATCCCATCAAGGTATCATACACATGAAAGCGACGAGTGAGTTGGCTCAAGATGGCCCAAAACCTTTATGGACCTACCTTCTCCCCTTAATCACATGTACGCAATTATCAAGGCCAAATTAATACGAGGTGGAGATCTCTTATATTGCAATTATTCTGTAACATGTGTGGAGAACTACTGGATCAGAAATTATCTAGTTGAATTTAGGACATTTTGATTCTGGTAAAAGAACATGTAATTTTCTTACATCATCTTGTATTGTTTAAAGAAGATTAATGATGTCTAGGAGACTACAATCAATGTTTTCTCTGATTAATCAGTGGATAGACTTCTATCTCGGGTTAGGCACAGATGAGTTGAGTCACGTCATAATGCATTCTGTGTTTCATGGACCAGAAAGACTATGGCAAAATGGACTTGTAGTTTTTTTTTTCTCAGATAAATAAAAATAATATACCAAATAAAAAATATCGCTTTGTGACTCTTCGAAAGAGATGTCGAGATGACGTGCTCAGTCGCAGAACGGTATAAGTGATCCAGAATAGTGAGCATGTCGTATCCCTCAATTATATATTATAGTGGGGCTTAAATTCAATAACGCACATGGACAAGGACTCAAGAGCTCGAAGCTAAAATAACATTCGTAAACGTTGCATTTATAACGGTCCACATATTTTCAAATCTAGTTTCAGAATTTCCCGGTAAACTTTATTTTGGATTATTTAAATTCATATGAGATTACAGTTGGCATCTAGAACTTGAAACGGATATATATCAACCGATCACAATTCAATACAACTAGCCATTCAACACTTTCGAGAATATTATATATTTTTATAACGGAACATTGTTTTAACGATGATTTACAATATTATTTTTCGTGTACTTTCTTTGAAAAAAACTCTTTTCCAATTTGTGCTAAAAAGGTTTTGTGAGAATAATTAGCATAGAAAGGATGACATTTACTCTAAGTTCTTTGTTGTAGCATAAACCAATTAGGTTTTTTCACGATTTTCAATATGAAATACATTGTGTTCCAAGCTATTTCAACATGGCAGTCATCTCTATAATTTCACATGACGCTTTGACAGCCAAACTGTAGTTTTATAGTGTTAATTTAAAAGCTCTAAAATTGAAGCCTTATGGATGTTTTCAATGAGTAATATTTTTTGTATATTTCAGATATAGAATTATCTGTGAAGTTAAAATAAACAATATGACGACGAGTGCTATTAAAGCCAAACTATCTGACTTAAAGGAAACAGATACCAGAATAATATTGTTTCATGGTAAAAGGTAAAAGTATATTACATGTATTGAATTTCATGTTTTAACAATGGTGTCATAGTTTCCCATTAAGTTTCACTTGCTTGAAGCACAAATTCCTAACAACTGGTAGTTCTAAAATAGAAATAATAGTTGGCCACAAATGAAATTACCGCACGTCGGAACGTTACTGGTTTTTAACAGCAGATCGAGTTTGCGTTTTCACGACTTCTACATGGCGGTCATCTTAGTTAGTGCTGTGATTCTAGTTTCGTATGCGAAACACCCAAAAGCCAAACATTACTCGATTATCTCTCTTATCAATATGTTTTAACTATATCTACTGTTTATTATTACAGCAAAGAAACATCCACAATCTTGGAAATAGCCGATGAATTGGGATTGGTAAGCGAGGAATATGCTTGGATTCTGACCCTTGAATCAATACCCAAAAACAGTGGAATGATTGCTCCTAGAGGATATCCACTGGGACTACTGGGTAAGTAAAATCCATCTTCCATCTGATTTTATCCAGTATCTAGATTATATCTATATAATAGTTTCGTTTTAACATGCCTGTCATGTAAGACATTGGTATCTGAAAGCACCCGTAATCAAAACAACTGAGACAAGAAATCACACACTGGATGTTGATCAGAAAACAATTTTGTCTTTTAGTGTCTTTAAAATATACAGTATATCAACATATTTTTCTTACAAAAGTGAAGAAACTTGAACTGTTCTATAATAAAAAGTTAGTGTGAAAGATTAGAATATAATTTGTTTTTATTGTCTGAAATAATCGATAACATATTCTATATAAGATTCCAAAACCTTAGGTGTAGATATTTTCAGCAAATCTATTTTGGTTGGAAGCTTTGGACAGAGTTGGAAACAGAAAGATAGTTGGAGTTGTTCGAGGTGTGAATTAAAATCTGTAGATGTTATAAGGAGAGTAAAACTACGAGATGTCAGAAGCGTTAGGAGATGTCAGAAGGGTTAGGAGATGTCAGAAGCGTTGGGAGATATCAGAAGCGTTGGGAGGTGCCAGAAGCGTTTGGAGGTGTCAGAAGCGTTTGGAGATGTCAGAAGCGTTGGGAGATGTCAGAAGCGTTTGCAGATGTCAGAAGCATTGGGAGATGTCAGAAGCATTGGGAGATGTCAGAAGCATTGGGAGATGTCAGAAGCCTTGGAAGGTGTCAGAACCGTTGGGAGATGTCAGAAGCGTTAGGAGATGTCAGAAGCATTTGGATATGTCAGAAACGTTGGGAGGTGCCAGAAGCGTTTGGAGGTGCCAGAAGCGTTTGGAGATGTCAGAAGCGTTGGGAGATGTCAGAGGCATTGGGAGATGTCAGAAGCGTTAGGAGATGTCAGAAGCGTTTGGAGATGTCAGAAGCGTTGGGAGGTGCCAGAAGCGTCTGGAGGTGCCAGAAGCGTTTGGGGATGTCAGAAGCGTTGGGAGATGTCAGAGGCATTGGGAGATGTCAGAAGCATTGAGAGGTGTCAGAAGCATTGGGAGATGTCAGAAGCGTTGGGAGATGTCAGAAGCATTGGGAGGTGCCAGAAGCGTTGAGCGGTATCAGAAGCGCTGGGAGATGTCAGATGCATTGGGAGATGTCAGAAGCGTTGGGAGATGTCAGAGGCATTGGGAGATGTCAGAAGCGTTAGGAGGTGCCAGAAGCGTTTGGAGATGTCAGAAGCGTTGGGAGGTGTCAGAAGCGCTGGGAGATGTCAGAAACATTGAGAGATGTCAGAAGCATTGGGAGGTGTCAGAAGCCTTGAGGGGTGTCAGAAGCATTGGGAGATGTCAGAATCCTTGGGAGGTGTCAGAAGCCTTGGAAGGTGTCAGAAGCATTGGGAGGTGTCAGAAGCATTGAGAGATGTCAGAAGCATTGGGAGGTGTCAGAAGCATTGAGAGGTGTCAGAAGCATTGGGAGGTGTCAGAAGCATTGAGAGATGTCAGAAGCATTGGGAGGTGTCAGAAGCATTGTGAGGTGTCAGAACCGTTTGGAGGTGTCAGAAGCCTTGGGAGATGTCAGAAGCATTGGGAGGTGTCAGAAGCATTGAGAGGAGTCAGAAGCATTGGGAGGTGTCAGAAGCATTGAGAGATGTCAGAAGCATTGGGAGGTGTCAGAAGCATTGGGAGGTGTCAGAAGCATTGAGAGATGTCAGAAGCATTGGGAGGTGTCAGAAGCATTGAGAGATGTCAGAAGCCTTGGGAGTTGTCAGAAGCATTGGGGGGTGTCAGAAGCCTTGGGAGGTGTCAGAAGCATTGAGATATGTCAGAAGCATTGGGAGGTGTCAGAAGCATTGAGAGGTGCCAGAAGCATTGAGAGGTGTCAGAAGCATTGAGAGATGTCAGAAGCATTTGGAGGTGTCAGAAGCATTGAGATATGTCAGAAGCCTTGGGAGGTGTCAGAAGCATTGAGAGATGTCAGAAGCCTTGGGAGGTGTCAGAAGCCTTGGGAGGTGTCAGAAGCATTGAGATATGTCAGAAGCATTGGGAGGTGTCAGAAGCATTGAGAGGTGCCAGAAGCATTGAGAAGTGTCAGAAGCATTGAGAGATGTCAGAAGCATTGAGATATGTCAGAAGCCTTGGGAGGTGTCAGAAGCATTGAGAGATGTCAGAAGCATTGGGAGGTGTCAGAAGCATTGGGAGATGTCAGAAGCATTGGGAGGTGTCAGAAGCGTTGAAAGGTGGAAGGCAGAGAGTGAGTTGGTAGAGTGTGAAAGCGGTGGGAGGTGCTAAAGGATAGGGTGATAAATGTTTTGTGAGACATTTGGTGAGAAATTTTTTACACCAAAAAACTACTTGAATTAACTAAGAATAGGCTACTTGATGTTTGTCCGTTAGAAAATTGTATTCATTATGATTTCCATGTAATTGGTAGTGGAAGTACTTCCACGCAATTTTCTTTTTTGTGTCAATTACTGTAACAAAAATGATTGTCAGTAGAATTTTAAGTGGAATTTTCTATAGTTTTTTTTTTCATTTTATGACATGAAACTAACCTGATACACAATTTGCATTCATTATGTCGTAAAGTAATTAAATTTATATAGTTGTATTTTAACACTTCTCATTTTCTCGTGATATCTTCTTACTAACAAGAAATGTGTTAATATAATATCATCTTTACATGGTTCTATCAATTTTTCTGTTGTTGTTTTTTTTCATGTGAGGTCCAGGGCCCTAACTACAAACTAGGGTCTTTTTTCTAAGGGCAAAAATCATGTTGTCTTTGCAGTCAGTTGGTCTTACATCTCAATGTTTCTGGTAGACTTGAAACATTAACCATAGCCATCAATTAAATAAAACGATGTTTTAGCAGATATCATATTCATATTTTTAGTTTTTGTTAAAAAAAAAGGATTTATTTTAAAATATTGCATGAGGCATTTGTCACATTGCCTTAATGCAGTAACGGCTCTGAAATTAATAGAAAAAGCCTTATTTTATGAATAATGTTTAGTTATAATTGTGTCCAAGACAGTCTGATCTTAATTGCAAAACAGCATTCAGTTTAAATCCTTCCTTCCATGATATTAATATTTCAAAATATGGAATAGAAATCTGCAAAAAAACAACATTTCCCCAGTTATTTATGATAGGAAAATAACTATCTCCTTTTAAAAATGATGAATATAATGATATAGGAAGTGATATGTGTATGAGATGAAGCTATAGAAGTAGCATATATAATAGTTTATAATGCCTGTTATTGACATGAATAATGGTAAAACAGATCATTGGTGAAATCTGGTGTCTCTTTGACTAATAGTTTATCTCTTGATTGATCCTTTTGATGATATAATACCACGGTTATAGCATATATCAACCATTATCGGGTTAATCCATATTGCCTTGGTTCGGTTATTGACACATATTGATGTGATTGGTTTATTTTATGCTGGAAGTGATCAATATGGTAAAAAAATGAAAAAATTTCACTGATTCATGAGAGTTAGCAGTGTGCATATTTTAACCTTTAAAGGGATTGTAAAGAGGTATTCAAAGGAAATTATTAAAAAATATACTTTATCACTTTAAGGAACCACAGGAGCCACAGACGTCTGATTAAAAATTGGAATGATGCAAATTGATGATCGGTGTTCTTTATAGAAATCAAAAATTTAGAAAGCCTCTGTACAATCCTTTTAATTAGACTTCAGCTTAATATAGACGTTTTTAACATAAATATGTAATATTTGGTAGGAATATTCTATGAAGATGGGTATGGTAAAACAGCTATGGAGTCAGTATTGAAGATGTCTGTTGATGTTTGGGCTCAGGCTTTAAACAATCTAGCTAGAGACGTGGTGAAAACTCAACTACAGTTACAACCTTTACAGCATTCCTGTAATACAACTGGTAGTTTATACTGGAAAGGTGGTGATGTGCTGTATAGGTAGGGTTGAAAACTGAATATAAAATTTTATTATTGAAGTTGACTGTGGCCATTACTTTCGATTTCTCGTCCATTACGAAGCGAGGGGAAAGGAGAAAGTTAAGATCCGAGAAAGTGAAGATTAATTGAGAGAGTAAAAACAGGTCACGTTTATATTTAGTATTGGCGCCTTGTTGAAAAAAGATATACGACTGAGACACAACTTATATTTCAAATCTCATCACAGCTTTATACAAATTATACGATAGCCACGATACGACATGGTTGTTTTTTAAATTTATGATTTCAGGTATCTAAAAAGAGTGAACATCCGCTTCCCTAAGCCAATCAAGTTCAATGACAAAGGAGTTCTACAGCAATCAGCCTTCAAAATTATTAACTTACAAAAACAGGAGAAGGTTGCCAATCATAAATGGATAGAGGTAAGAGAAGTCAGATTCTTTCATTGGAATATTAAACCTTAAATGGATTTCAAAAATATTTTGTAGTTTTTTTTTATAAAATGGGATGTACCTGTTATTAAAAATATTCTTTTATTCTTCCATTCCTTCATTTTGAGAATTGATTATCATATAGAGTCTACATAGCTCATGAGGTATTTTTTTTTACATCGATACCTACAGAAGCATGATCTATACTTATATAAACGTTTATTTTTAAAACGTTTTGGATACTTAAAGTGCACGTTTATTACTTTCAAGGTATAGATAATATGTCATGGGTCCATAGCATAGAGAATATATGATGAGTCCAAAGCATAGAGAATATGCGATAGGTTCAAAGAAACGAGTGCTTTGGATCTCGGAACATGTAGTAGTATATGGCCACTTCATGCATGCTGTACTTTTAAGGTGGGAAAGTGGAGCAGCTCAACAGGGTTAACTATGAGAAGTATTACATGGATGGGAGAAGCTCTATCACCACCACTGGGTAAACCTTCCAGAGCGTATCTTAGAATAGCAACGTTGAAAGAAGAACCATATGTAAATTACAATAAGATGCCCGAGGAAGGATGTGGTCCTCACGCTGTTACTTGTAGAATTTATCCACGAGATGCCTTTAAACACAGGTAAGCAGATATCGGAATGGCTGCTTCTTCAGATATTGCATGTTAAGTTGGATAGAAGATACAGATGATCCGATTGATAGATGATAGTGTAAAGCTAACAGTACAAGAGACAAATAGTCTTTTATTGGATTGTTTGATTGTGAAGTGCACGTTCCAAGTTATATTGCTGTTATTTTATATAGGTTTGCATTCGGCATGAGTTGCTGATATTGATAAAGGATCAACGAGAAGGTTTAAAGAGCATTTCGATGGTTTTCGGTTTCAAAATAAAGGATTGCGTTTCACGGAATACAAATATATATCTGAATGTGATATTGTTTTTTGAAAAACAGATAGGAAGAAAAAAGAATGGACTCGTTGATGTGTCAAGATGAATCATTTCAGCAATCGGATTCTGTTTCATCTTGAAATTTTTTTTCAGATTCGGATAAGGCTTCCTATACAAATCATTTACTTTGTTCTGATGTTTCAGAGTAGGTGATGGAACTATTAATGTTTGTTGTTCTGGTCTGTCTATAGATCTACTGGTCAGATTGAGCCAAGATCTTAACTTTGATTTTGATTTATTCGAGGTAGAGGACGGAGAATGGGGAGCAGAGGTAAGCATTATTATAACTTTATTGTCATGTAAAGCATGTATGTATATCGAAAAAACGTTGTTGACAGATTCAGAGTGGGTCAGTTATAATGACCAATCAAATGTCTTCATTCTTCATGACTCCGAGGCTGAGATTTTGTGGCAAAATCTCAATACGTAAAGCAGAGGTTAACAGGTTAGGTCAAAGGGTTATTAGAATGAATGTTTAAGACGGTCGTCATTGGAAGTGGTTACATTAAAAGTAAAAGCTAAAAAATACAAAAGTGGATTCACTGGGTGGTTAGTATGGTCTGTATCAACAGCGGTACCTTCCACGTTCATTATTGTATTTCTTTGGTCGGCTATTGTCAGCTTCAGAGTAGGGGTTTTGTAAATTGGTTATCATTCAAAAACACAACCACAATACTAACTGATACACATATATCCATGACCAATTCTGCAATTAATATCCCAAAATTGTTTATATCATTTTATTTCCTTTGTTTATTAAATTTAAATTTAATTCGGTTCTTTTTGTTCGGCTCTTTACTTTAAATTGATAAAGATATTGACTCAATAGCATCAACTAGAATAAGACTAACTGAATTACCATCATATTATACAAGCGAATATGAAAGTTTTATTTGGGATGCATTGAACAAAATCAAATTATACCTGATAGCATTAGACACATATGGACAAATATCCTTTAAACTAATACATTCTACCCTGAATTGAGACTGTAATAATAAACTAATGTGTTACTTTATTGATGTATAATTTCGACTAGCGCATCCCTCGTGTATTTTCCATATTTTATACTCCATGAAATAAGCCATCAATATTGTCTCTTCTGGTAATACAAAATACAGCTGATAACTTATATGAATATAGGAAATAATAGTTCGGAACATTTAATTCGAAATCAGTAAAATAGATCCAAAATTCATCACTATCATCTCCAGCTTTCAGCATCCACATAGTTAATATTGACATTTCCATCAAAATAGCTCAATCTTTCTTTTTGTTTATGTTCTGCTATATTGATGGTAAGAGCGAAATATCTACAACTGTGCTTTAATTAGATTAGTCATTAAATAACGTTTTAGTTTTGCGGGAAGGAGATCTCATGTGTAGTTGTTTCTGTCACCTTTTGGATACATTATATGGGTTTTAATGCTAAATCACCATCAACTTTTTTCTTGTTCGGCAAAAAACCACTGGATTATAATACGTGGTTAGAATTACCTTAAAAATCCTATATAGGCTTTTTCATCTTTCATCATGTTTGAACATACTGCACTATATTACCCAAAGGCTATTATTATGTGTTACAGGATGTGAATAAAGAATGGAACGGATTAGTGAAGGTTTTAACGGATCAGAAAGCTGATATGGTCGTCACTGCCTTTAAGATCTCCCCCGATAGGAATACTCAAGTAGCTTTCTCTGTTCCATATTTAGAAACCGGTATAACTATAATAGTTTCTATTAGAGAAGGCGCTATTTCACCTAAAGCCTTTCTTGGTAAGAACATAATTTTGTGGCCTTCCTAATCCCGGGATTAATCTTGAAAGGGATTAAATGAAGGACAGAGGCTTATAACTACGGTTTTGGAAACACAACCTTTTTTCGTTTCAAGATGAATAGATCTATTTGGTGAAATTATAAAGCTTTATTCGGTCAGGGTTTTATCTGATCGTTCTCTCTGTGAGGAAATTGACACACTGTCCTGAATTTCGGTATAGTCTGTGAGAAATTATTCGGTATACATTAAAGTTAATTGTCTATGGTGGCAATTATTGAATAATATATGGATTTATTTTTTTGATTCAAAAGCACCACTGCGATGATGTAACATTGATTTTCCTGCGATAATTATAGACACGGTCGCATTTCATATTTAAAAGTTTTATCAATCTGAATATCGCTAATTGGTTATGACTTTTTTTATTCAGTACATATTGGCAACATTTATTTCATTAGTTATAGAATGTACATGTACATAACATTTTTAAAGAGATTATCAATACTTTTTATTTTGCCCTGTCGATCCTGACGAGCCCTACTAAAATCAACGCAAGTCCTAGTGAATGTCTTTTGCATCATCTTCACAATGCCAAGCTATTACTAACTTTGTCTTATACCTTGACTGCAATAGTCTTCTTTCTTGATTGAATTGTACACTACCGAATACAGCCAATGAGAGCCCCCGACAGAAAGTCTGCAAACCATAAGCCATAATATTGAAAGTATTTATGTCGAGGGTTCCCATTGACTGTATTCTCAAGAGTGCAATCAAATCAAATCACTGCATTCCGTAATACACGAAAGGTGGCTATTACAGTCAAGGTATAAGACGAAACTCGTAATATCTTGACATTGTGAAGACGTTGTTTAATGTGCCACAAGCAAACTGGTTGTTGATTAAAATCATAGCTATAAAGCTGCTATGGGATGATGAATCCCTCGGAGATGGAACTATCTAACACCAGAAAGCTCCATCATAGAAGTGATACCTCTTTTTACTAGCAGAAAATTGTATTAACTTTTAAATCATTATATTTCAGAACCTTATGACTACCCATCATGGGGATTGATTTTAGTATTCAGTGTACATGCTACTGGTATCAGTATATTTGTCTTTGAATGGTTGAGTCCCAATGGTTTAGATAGAGGACGGGTATCGTCTAGAGGTTTGTTCTGTATTATTATTTTTTAACATATCTGGAAGCTAATGTCCTTATATATTCTGGTGGGAGTTTAGTTCAACAATTATTGACATAATCTATACTGGAGACGTGGATACGCCGACATGGATTTATTGATCAAAATCTTTTTAAAATACAAGTTTTAGAAGCTACTTATCTTGCAAGACTAATCGCATTCCATTTGTGTGACATGCTCCTTTTGCACGATATACTGCGCTTATCACATCTAAGTCGTTGTATGACTTCACCTCGTGGTGCGTTAAGGGGTAGTTAAATTTATAGGTTAGATGGGTGCGATTTTCATGGTGTAACAGACTCACGTAATCGTTCTGGTAGTAATTTGTGCGGAGATCACAAAGTTGAAATAAGGAGATAGACAAGCACCTCAACTAAACAATATAATAAAAGTGAGTCAGTGACTATATAACTCTAGAGAATTCAGTCTAACTAGTAATAATGAGATTATTTTACTGTCACAAATAATACTTGTGGTACTACATTAATACAAATAGATACATTGCTCTTAGCAGAACATATATTTCTCTACGTTAACCATCGGTGGAATTACATAATATACAGTTTGTCTGCATACCATTCAATATAAAAGGAACCATCCACCTAAATAGCACGGTTAAACATCTTTATACCATATCAGATATATCTACTATACTTTAATTTGTAGAAATATGGCGAGTATTGCAGGACATGCTTACCCCGATGGAACACCTGACTGTGACTGAGAGTATTTCGAAAATCATTATTCATTTTCTTTTTCAGATCATAAATTTTCCCTGTTTCGTTCATTTTGGTTAATATGGGCAATGTTATTAAGTGCGGCTGTTTCTACAGATACTCCGCGAAGTGTTTCCAGTCGATTTTTAGCCAATTTGTGGGCGCTATTTGCCTTGGTGTTTCTAGCCAGTTACACTGCTAATCTAGCTGCCTTTATGATAACCAAGGAAGAATTTTATGATTTGTCAGGAATAGGAGATTGGAGGGTAAGTATTTTCTTGCTTATGTATTTCCTTATGCAATGTTAACTATACTTAGTTAAACCGAGTCGAGGATTGATTGTGAAACTCAATATAGACAAAAGTTTTTCTTCGATACAAAGTATGAGCATATGTTACATTGTCTGGCAAGCGATGATGTATATTTATGCAGTATTGCAAAAAAATATTAATGGTGGATACGTGTCAGTCTACTTGAAATTTCTTGATTGGTTTACAACGGGAAGACAATATTTTGAAAGAAAGCCAGTTTGTATATCATATGGATTAAGTCAATATCTATATGGTGGTTTATAAATTTAATATAAAGTGTCATCTGGAGTTTTCAAAGTTTCAACACATTATTGACGACTACTAAAGAAGAGAGACAATTAGTCTCTGTAGAAATTTGATATTTTGAAGAAAATTTGATCAAAAATAAATTAATCAGTAGATCGTACCTGATATAACGAGAAAGAAATGTTGGTAATCAGTCAAACATGTCTCCAAGGAACAAGAAAGCAAATTGGCTAGTTAGTTTGATTAATGTGTTTTATGATTTTAAGGAACGTGGAACCATTGTTAAAGTTTATTAGTGGAGCTATTTTTCAGTAGAATAATTCCAATTACTGATTTCATATCATATTATCTGCTAATTGGAGTTGAAGTGTTTCTTTGCTTCAAAATAGAAATCAAACATATTAGGTTTTTAAACTGCTGTTGTCTAACACGAATTAGTATCTTTGTTTTGAGTTATTGTTATGACAGCTGATGATAATGTTTTTGTCATTGATGTTCTCGGGAGGAATATGGTAGTCTGTCCCATTTCAGTAAGGAATTGACTATTTCTGCTCATTTTTTAGCGTCATCAGATGTTGAATGGATATCAGTTAACGTACAATTTTGGAATTGAGTAGCCTTGTTTTAGATTAAAATTTGTACTTACGGCTTTGAATTTCTTTACTTTGTGTTTCAGCTTCAGAACCCTCAATCATTAAAACCACCGTTTAAATTTGGTACCATATCACAAGGTATAACTGATAGTAATATTAAGAAGAATCATTATGATATGTGGAGATATATGAGAAAGTATAACCAGTCGTCTGTAGCTACTGCAATCCAGTCAGTTAAAAGCCAGTACGTATATTCGAAATATATTTCATCAAATAGAATTGCATATGAAATACAATAATATGTTAGAGGTTTGATTGATCCACCAACACGTGATCGGTCAATCGACAATGGAACCATGGCGACAGATATGTTTTTAATTGATCTAAATCACCGGAAGTGCTTGTAAGCCGGTACCAAAAACCGCTAAACAGGAATGGACTGAGCTGTTTTGTTTAGCGATTGGACCAGTGGGTTTCCTTCGGTCCCCAGTGCCCATATGATCAAGATAAGAGTACATCTCAGTCTGACAAAACTATTTTCTCTTTGGATTTAGACTTTTATTGTATGTTTCATTAAAGATACATAAAAAGTGTTGTAGGACATCGGACCCATCTAGTAAAGCGTGTTATCGAAGACCTTTTCGTGATCACTGAATTTTAGTAATTTTATTGCAGAAAAATCCATGCTTTTATCTACGACGCTACAGTGTTGGAATATGAAGCTGGCAGAGATAAAGGATGTAGATTAAGAACTGTTGGTAATTGGTATGCTATGACCGGCTATGGTATCGGCTTCCCCAAAAATTCCAAATGGATCCAGAAAGTGAATATGGTTCTTTTACAACTAGAAGAGGAAGGTATGGTTTCATTTCACATTTACATATATACCATGAGAGATACATTTCAAAATGATCGTAGAAGTCTTCATTGTATTGCAGAGTTTAAGATTCCTGTAACATTAGATTAAGTATAAGCCTGCTAAGAATTGCTTTTATTAAAGTAATTTTATAACATATTGTATTTGCACAAATATTGCGTTTGGGTAGAGCTTACTGTACTGTGCGTCAGGCCCGTACCCAGCCAAAAACTTCTAGGAGGGGGGCGTGGGGGGCAGTTTAAGAACCCCCGTCCCCTCCCGGAAAGTTTTGTGAATTGTTACAGTGGTGCTCTCTATAGAGTTATTGCTATCTTTATTGCTGCCGAGGACGTCCATTGGAAGCCTGGAAACAGGATTCTGTGAAGTCTGGGGAACCCCTTGGCTATGGGCCAATTATACCTAATTATAGCTATATGAACATTTTAATCTCCAGTGTCCATATAATCCATTCTACTTTACAGGTGAGATGGAGAGATTAAAACGATTTTGGTTAAAAGGTGCCTGTCAGGTGAAACAGAAACCCGGGACTGGAGTCACTAAAAGTAGTTTCAGTGGTAAAACAGTGTCTAGTCATACGCTAGGGATATTAAACTTTACCAGTGCCTTTATTCTGCTAGCCTGTGGAATAGCCGTCGGAACCTTGCTACATATTCTAGAACATTTCTACTTCCGGTGTGGACGTCAGAATCTACAGAAGGCCAATGATAGAGGATTCTTTTCACTTATGAGTTATGTAAGTAGGTGGTGGCGCTAGTGGTGGTACAGGGGGAAATATGCCCCCTAGAAAATTGGTTTATATCCCCGATTCATTTCTAGCAAAATTTTAAAATATGATTTTTGTAGGCACCAATTTCGTGGTATAGAACTCTCCGTGACTTTTGAATCTCAACCTCGACAGTTGACCCCCATTAAATCAATCTGCCATTATTTTTACCCGAGTCTCAGGAGGCTCCCACCTCCTCCATTAGTTTTGAGTGATCAACGCGTTGGTCCCCGTTTTGGATTTTAGAGGGTAATAGTGGCGGTTGGTGGGTCAGGTGGGCCCTCTCCTGGAAAACATTTCCAATCTAAGAAGGCGGGGATCGCGATTTTGGCATTTTTCGTTTTTGCGCCCCACCGTAATATGCTACTGAGAACCGCCTTCAATGTCAACTGTGTGGTACTGCAGATTACTCTGTAGCGAATAATGAATTGCTGTTTTCGGATATTTTAATAGGCATTTGTTATTTTCAAGTTATTTTTGGGGAATTCCTGTTTTGAAAAAAATATGGCCATTTCTGGTAAGTTATAATGTGATAATTGAGTTGTAAAAACTTTTTGTATTTCTAGGCTATGGGTCAACCATTAATGAGAAAAAATACAGTGAGAGATATAGAACCATATTATGTGAAATATAGATGTGAAAATAGAGCTTGTGATATAGAATACTGGAAAGTACAACATCAATTGGACTTTGCTTTATTAAAAATAGATCGTTTACAGAGAACAATATCGTAAGTTTATATTTTGATTTCACTGGTTTCGTATCGACTCAAATTCCCTTAAAACCAATGTTCCTTTAGCATCGGTACGATGATAATGATCATCTAAATAATCATCGCACCGTTCGTAAAGGAACATGCTTAAAACAATGAATATAACGTATTTAAAAGTCTACATGTCTATGATGGTAATATTGGACAATAGTCCATAATTTGTTGCAGAGCTCTTGTGGAACTTTCGGTAGACTGTTGTAAGGCAGTAAAGAAAATTAGTATCACGGTTAAAGGGAAATAATAACAGTTAAATTTGCAGATTGTGACCACACTTAATTAATTCTCCCACATTACCGATCTTGTCTAAGGACAAATTATTAGGCTAAGAAAGACACTACAGGTGGTTGAGCAAACAGGATGATAAATATCTATGACATTGTTCATTTTAGAGGTGTACAAGCGGAGAAAGAGCGGAAAGCTGTATGGAGATATAATCAAGCTATCAAAGGTTATAATGAAATAACTGATATTGGTGATGATGGTGTGAAATTAGTAAAGTGTCAAATAGAGCGAGAAAGTTCATTTTAAACCATTTTTCACAATTTCAAATTTTATTCATTCCTTTATTTCTTTTTTAATATTTGATTTTTTTGATTTTTTGTGTTAAAACATCAAATTAAAGATTGTTATATTAATGAGTTTCAATAAAAACATCAAAATTTATTTTACTGTGCTAAGGAGGTCTTGATGTGCATCTTAATCAGAAATTGGCTCAATAGGAATTCAAAGTGTAGATAGAAGCTGACAACAGGAAGGTTGTGTTGCTGATCATATCAGTTAGAACTAGGTTGACGAATAGATTGATCTTTGGATTACCTTCAAGTAATGGATCGTCTGTTGAAAAAAAAATCATCTTGTTGTTAAAAGATGACATATGCATTCTGACATATTTAGAGTCAAAATCATCTTTTTAAATTTTTTAGAAATAAAATGAGGGTGTAATTGGGGGTACAAACCAATTTTTCACAAATGCGACGCCATCGCTCAGAATAAACTGACTAAAGTCTGCTGGAAGGTTTCGTTTGAATAAGGAAGAGCGTTAAAAATTTCATGGAGGTGTATAATTCCCTCTTATATTGGTGAATAACTTGTGAGATATGTCAACTATTTTAAGTTATGATTTCAATTGAACAAGTAGTTTCCTCTAGTTAAAGGCTTGGTAAGTTTAAAACAGGGCGGATAAATATATTATTGATGAAATACACATTTCCCGCCATATGACGTCAGACTGAGGGTCAGTGTCGTGTGCAAAATTATATAGGTATATTCTCTAGTTAGTCATTAGACCATCACGTCAAGTGAGATTTTCAAGCCGTACATCAACGGTTAATTATCGGAATATTGACAGAAAATCAGGAAAATGTCCAACGTTCAGTATGTGCAGGGAGAAACCCTGTCCGTCCACTTAATGAGACCAGAATCAGGAACATCATGGGGATTTCGACTGCAAGGAGGAGTTGATTTTAGCACACCTTTATCAATTCAGGTGGTAAGTAAAACTTCTTTTCTAATATTTAAATATGATAATCTGTTAAATAGCAAATGTTATGCTCGAGTGATCTGGACAAACATATCTAACCCGAGTGAATATCACTGTGAATTACACTAGTAACAGTTTTAATGGTGATAAATAGACGGTAAAGAAAGTGAGTTATTTACTAAGATAGCTACAGGTATCAAATTACATACAGAATACCGTTATACTGCCAAGTATTTCTGACTAATCGCACCAAGACCTTGATGTATATCATTCAATATTTTTGTATATTCTGATAAACACTGGTCAATAATGCCCTGTATGTAAATAAAAGAAAGTTAAAATTGAGTTATATAGTGAATATAAAGCGATACTTTTCTAATTTGAGCTAAGTTCAGTGTTTACTGTATCTATATATGGAACTGTCAGACATATTATAGCATTACATCTATTCTCTACTTACATTATACTTCATCTTTTACATCAGTAGAGATAGGAGTTATTATTCTGTATTGTTTAACAAGATACTAGGCATACTTTGTAAGTGAATAAAGCAATTTCTAAGGCAAAATCTGTTACAAAAACTAAGGAAAAAATAGGATAAGGGTATGTTCTTTTAGAAATAAATCTTATCAATATGTACAGTAAAAACTGTTAAAAGACTAAAGCAGGAAAATGTTTTTATTGTTCATAATATGACTTAAATTGTCAAACTTGTTCATTTTAATTGATGGCAAATCACTTCCAGTTTTCTTCCATTTCAACAAAAATTAACCCTAGAAATTTTAAATGCTGTTAATTCTAATTTCAGACTGTTACTAACTCATGTTGATTATTATTATGACAGCAGTAAGAATATGGGATGCCCAGGGCCCATGTATGGAAATTGAAACAAATTTTAAATCTCAATATAGAAAGCCTAATATATATCGGCAATAAATCATTATATTAAATTGTTACAGTCTAATATATTGAAATATTGATTGGTAGAATATTTAGATTAAGTTACAATGGCCTATTAAACCAATGTTGAGGATCAGTTTTTATTATAATACAGAAACAACTGTTTAAAGTTGGGGTCCCACTATATTTAAAAGCGAGGAAAGTAAAATATTCAACAAATAGATTTTAACTTTGCAAAATTGATCTGTGGTTAGAATGCCAGGAATCGCTTGTTAGATCTTAAATGTTTAGAATATCATGTAATCTCAAGCATTTAAATAATAAAATGGAAGGACTGTTTTCAATGTATTTGTTAAATGATTGAATTATATTGGTTCAGGTTCCTATAGATTGATTAGAAACTTGCATGTGGCATGTGTCTATTCAATTGCAACCATTCCTAATGCCAGGTTTCTCTGAAACATGTTTATTCATTGTGTTCCAATATAAATATAAAGGCACTTGAAGGTCTTATATAAGTAATTATAATATTTTTATACTTATTATTACAATACATAATTAAGTAATAATTAATGACATAATCCCAGGCATCAGTTCCATAGAGTATGGGTCCCTATAGCACTGTGGAACTATGTAATCAAATGAGATTGATATATATGATTATATATAACTGTAAGTTTTTATTTTTTATCACATTACTGTCATCGTGTTCATAACACAGGTTCACAAAAACTATGAACACGGGGTGCAGATTAATAACTATGCAAATTAGGTAATGAATTCATACATCATGTACACAGAACGACATGGCATATTTTGAAGATGACGACTCAGTTACAATTTAAGGTAAAGGGGAAATTGTTCCAAAAAACCTAAATTTGATTAAAAAGTTCTAATTAGTTATCACATGAAAGTGTTTATCTAGATCGTATTTGTTAAAAAAGGTGACATGTGCATAAAGGTGGACCTCAAAATGAAGGCCCTATATAGAAAAATTGGAAGGAATTTAAGGTAAAAACATGTTTATTGATAGTTTTGTTATAAATAGAATCTTTCACTCGTGCTTATGTAGGCTAATACAAAATTTATGAAATTCGTTACCAGATTAATTATTTCCCTCGCCTTATCTGACAACACATTTGATAAATTTCATGTTACATAAACAATAGTATAAGATTCTCTATATCTCAAGTATAGCAATTGTAGCAATTATATATAATACAGCCTATATCTGTAATGTCAGATTCTAAATACTATAGAGTTATTTATTGAACTCTTATATAAGTAGAGATTAGGTAAGAGCACTGCATCCAGATCCAGATAAATATATCTTAATTGTAGAGATACAAGTTTAAATTCAAGTCAATGATTTTTCAGTTATATTTAAATGACAGTAGGTATTAAGATCGGAAATGTTTGTGGTTATTTAATGTCTATTGATAATAATACAGTTTATATCTAGCTTAGTGATTGATAGTCCTTTCTATAACTAAATCCATTGTTTTTTTACAGAAGGTAAAAGAGAATCATAATTTGTTAAGTTAATAACTCTTGATTCACATTCTTTTGAAATAACAAATTTCAAATTGAATGACAACAAATTTGAAAGTTTTTCCTGTATGAAAGTAACAAATGTCAATATTTATATGAAAAACTTGATAGCACAACTGTTATTTTAAATTTATTGCTTTATTATTTGATTCGAAAGACAACATTTTAAGAAAAAATGTGAATATTTGAAAATATCTCTAGTAGTTAATCATGTTATGACATATTTCTATGATGGAGCACATAACAATGGCAATTAGCCACTCAAAATTAAATCGACTATTTTGAAATAAATTTGAATATTCAAAATATTTAAGGCCAATAAGAGTTCATTATTGAATATTGGCCCAGGATAGCAATTGTTATTAAATAATTTATGAAGATATATGATAGGCTTGTATAACACTTCTATAATAGATTATTATATATAACAGTGGCTATTAACTGTCAATCAAATAAATCATTATATACTAAATATATAGACAAGGTTAAAGGTTAAATATGTCCTCTCAGCTGATAATGTCAATAACAGATATAAGTATGTAGATAAACCAACCATATCACTGAATTAGTTTTAGTTAATTAGTGGCTTTAATGTCTGTTTGATCATTGAGCTTTGTGTACACTCTAATTTGATATCTTTACCTTTTGGCTTTTGTTTCTGATATGTAACAAACTTACAAAACTATTGAAATATTAGAAAATAATACATTCTGGTTGATTATTTTGAATTGATGATCTTGATTGAATATGAATTGTGGTTGATGAATCTGTAGTCACTAAAAATATTATTCATTATTCTGAGTCAAATTTGGTATTTTATATTTCCATAAGGGATTGAGACATGATGAATTTGATGATGATGTGTCTAGTTTTAGAGGTCTCCAGTGAAACAAACTCAGTTTAAGGATCTAGCATGTCTGTGATTGAGGCCTACAACCAATGTCAAATGCTGGGGTCTCTTTCAGACTTCTTTAAAGATTCCTCCAGAATCACTTATACATTACTGCAGATTGCGCAATATTGAAATAATGAATAGCAGTAAAAGATAATGGAGTTCAAATACCTATAGTAACCCGATTATCTGGCAAGGTACCGAACTCATAGAGATAACTAGGCATATTGGAACTATTATATAATTGATAACTCATCTGGCATTCATATAGACAGATTTACCATTCACCTTATAAACATCTTCTTATATATTATACACAAAACAATTGTATTCTTTAAACTATTTTCTCAAGGTTTTATTTGTCAGTCATATTTTAGAATGATGTTACAAATTTAAAAAACAGAAAGACCATAAATACCTGTCTCTATTTCATCTAATGTATGTTAACCATGCAAATAGATTCTGTTATTAATACATGTAATAATACTTTTCACCTTGAATATGCATTGTTTTGGATTTTGAAATTAGTACTCTTATTTGATTAGTATTTTTGTAAGGCAAAGCTCCTGTTAAAGTCCTTTACTGATAATATCCTTTTCTATTAAGGGCCTTAAATGTCCTTTACTGTTGAGGTCCTTTACTGTTAACATCCCTTACCGTTGAAGTCGTTTACTGTTAAGGTTCTTTACTGTTAAAGTCCTTTACAGTTAATATCCTTTTCCAATTGAAGTCCTTTACTGTTAAGGTTCTCTACTGTTAAGGTTCTTTACTGTTAAAGTCCTTTACAGTTAATATCCTTTACTGTTAAAGTCCTTTACTGTTAATATCCTTTACTGTTAATATCCTTTACTTTTAATAACCTTTACTGTTAAGGTCCTTTACTGAGAGTACTACATAATATTTTAGGTTCAACCAAACAGTGTTGCTGAAAGAAGTGGGTTAAAAGCTGGTGATGCTATATTACGTATCAATAATACCAACGCTGACAGTCTGGCTCACGAAGATGCCAAGATGGAAATTGTTCGATCTGGTAATGATATCCAATTATTGATTCAAAGGTAGGTTAAAAATTTGGTCAGTTTCTATTGAACGTGATTGAAATTAGGAAGTAGGAAGTACTCATTCCGAAGAAGTGTCTTTCTATATATTGATAAATGTAATCTTTGAATAGGATGTTCATCCATATTTTATATTTGGTTTCAAGTCCTGCTATCATAGAAATATTTTATGGTTTCTTGGTTTAGGCCTACAGTTGCCAACCATTATTGAGCAGTTTGAACTATACTTTAGTTTGAGCTAATATATTACAATCTATTTATTTTACTGAGTTGACAAATTGATTATTGATGAATATTTATTCAGGGGTGCTGTGAAGATCTGGAAGCCTCAAGTCAGTAATCTATCTGATATCCGTCCAGCTGAACTCAAACCAATAAAAACACAAACAGGACAACATGTTGCTCCAGTACAGAAAACATCATTAGCTGTTAATAAAGGAGATGTAAGTAGAAGAATATGCCTTAGCAATTTTTTCTATGAGTTTGTCAGCTACATGCCTTGTGACTGATGCCCATTTTCCAGTGTAGAGGTTTATATAGGTTTTGCTCATTCTTCATGGAATACATCTATAACCCTGTGCCTATAATGAGCTTAATAGCTGTGTTATGATGTTGAATCCCTAAATTGAAACAGAGTTATCTGTACAATTGAAGAGTGAGAAACTTGACATTAATTCTAAGATGACTGTTTTGTCGACGTTTCTATTCTTTTTTAGCTGATTAATAAATATAAATGATCTTGTTAAAAAAAATGATATGTTTCAAATTTAAACTGAAATCTCTGCCTTCTATTTCTATAAGATTTCTGACCAATAATTCATGAATATATCGATCGAAATAAAAATGCAAGAAGAATTTTTTTCTCTTTACAGCAAGGACCATGTACTATTGGAAGTAGCCACAACAGAGCAGCTAAACCATTTGGAAGTCAAGCAGCGCCAGTTGTAGCTGCTGTACCCAATGTTACCCATTCTCAATATAACTCACCAATGGGTCTCTATTCTGGGTCTAACATTGCTGAAACTTATGTACAACAAACACATGGCATTGCTGAACAAGTTCAAGGGTATGTGAATTCTTATTTTAGAGAGATTTGGCAATATGTCAAATGTGAATGTAAAGTATCAATATGTCAAATGTAAGAACAAAGTCATCTATCCCCCATGTCTATCGCCCATTTAGAAATACTTCAGTTACTACAGTCAAAAATATAGTTTAACATTTTATTACATGTTTAATATTGTTGCAAAGCTCTATCACAAAAAGATTCAATCTCTTCCCTGAGTTAGGATTCTCTAATAATGGGAGCTAGAGATTTGATACAGAGGAAAAGAATTTAAAAAACCTTTGTAATACAATACTTCTATGTGTGACATTAACCATGAAATCCCACCTACAAATTTATTCTAAAGAAATTGGGTGCATTTTTGAATGAAGTTTGTAAGGTTTCTACAGGTGTAAATTAAAAAAAAAACTTCCCCTATTTTTTGTGATAATATATTGAAGTTGTCTCAACTCTATCTTGAGTTTGCTTTTAATCAATATCAGATATTATAAAGTTTATGAACATAATTCTATTCTTTCAACTAAAAAATATTATTAAGTTTATTAACAAAAAGCCTGTTCTATAAATACAGAGCAGTAAATCAAACATTACTATGAATGGGTGAGAAACCATCCTCTACCATATAAGGTGTTTTTAGATGACAGTTAACTTGTTGCATAATGATACAATGTACAACATTAATATAAAAGATATGAATCAGAAAATAAAGAATGAAATATCTATGAAATATTTGTGTGATATGAACAGTAGCCTAGTGGTTGTTCAATAGCCTGATGAATCATCTCAAACTGAGTCTCTACTTGTTGACACAAGACTAGGGTGTGACTAGACTGTACTTGATCTCTATTCTACTCCACACAATCATATCTACGCTTGTTTTAAACAATTTGAATAATTTAATTACAACAAAAAAAAGCTGCAAGGTTCATGAAGACCACTGGGTTTTAAGTATATACATGAACTTGACAATAGTTTTACTATATGAGGTTGTCTATAAAATAAACAAAATTATCTCATAAAAAAAAGACTTATTTATTTCATCATTGTTACTAGCAACCAATTATGTTTCATTAAACCAAAAATTCAATTTTAGAAACTTGGTCCCCTTGCAATAATTATATTATTTTGAATGAATTTCCTTACATCTTTTAAAGATAATTTATTAATTTGGAATTTATTATAAAATAGAGATAAAAGAAAATCTCTCCTATTTTCACTAAAATAATTTGACCTCATTCATATTACAAGTCATTTTTCAACAAAGAAGTTTTGTTAACATGTTATAACTGATTAAAATTGAACTAAAAAAAATATTAATGTTTGTGGTTGAATCGTGTCTAGGGCTAAAACATAATCTGCTGTGCAGTTTATTAATGTATTTGCACTTAAGTAACTTTTTAAAATTTTGATTGTAAAAATAAAGCTCAATCTGCAGTTAACATTTCTACTAAATAATGATAGACAGCACGTAGCCTTGAGCATTTCATAAGTCTCAACTGTTGCAAATGTTTCCCAGTGTGACAAGCTGACACTACATATAGTAAAATTGGCCTAAATTGGAATAAGTCTGATTTCAAATACACCTTATATGTCCAAATTTGTCCTCTTCTATACAATATACTCACCAAAAAAAACTCTAAATTCTCAGAAATAGAGTAGACAAAGCCATAAGTATGAGCATGCCTTGGTACTCTTAGTTCTTTGAATCGCCAATCATGCCAGGATACAATACTTATCCAGATACAAGTGTCACAATACGATACAAAATGTAATATCAAAGTTTCAGTATATGTTAATTTATAACAGTGTTTACTGTGATACTTGGTAATGTAGTTGATAGGAGTTTCTTATGAACAGTTTCCAACAATTTCAGTCAGTGAAAAAAGTTTGATTCCATTCAGCAACTTATAAAAATCTCATTTTTTTTTTGGATTTGAATGAGAGGTATTGTTAAGTATCGATACACGACCCTGCCATACGATATGCGTATTGTGGCATGTCATATTGCCATACATCGATTCACAGATACTTTTGTGTCAGCACTACTCTTTTTATCATATTAGACATCAAATTAAAATCTGGACACCAAAAATTAAATCTAACAGGTTGAAGAATGACATTGATTGTATTTCAGTTTACAACTGGACTCTGCTCAAGTAGGCAGTAAAATGGACGCCATGTACCGACCCCAACAACAACAAGAAGGTGAGACAGAGAGTGCACAGTTAAAAGAATGGAAAGATGGGGAAACACCCCAATATAAAGGTTATACTAATCCGCATGCACAGTCCCGAGCCTTTCACAAAGTACAAGAAAACCTTGATGAACAAGAACTTAAAGAGAGTATGTTTGCATGTTTTAGTTTAGTTATTCTTTTATTGCTTTAAGCTAGATGATATATTTTCTTGTATTATTATTTTTTACTGTTACTTTAAAATTTTCATGGAAATATATGTTTTTTTATAAATTTTGTGGTTTGAATGCGTGAAAAACAAATAGTACTCAAATATTGTCCAAAATACGTGAATCACAACTTAAAGTGAACTTGGCTTGGAAATATATCTTGACAAACATTCCTGATTTTTAAGGTTTGAACATACCAGTGTTATTGCTTTAAAGGAAATTGATCATCTAGCCATTTTATTTTTATTTTATAAATATTTATTTTTTTATGTTTTCTTCACAAAGTTCACTTATTGCAATTTAGATTCACCTATCAGCTTTTAAACACAGAGTTATCAAACAATGGTAATACAAATATCAGAAAATGACACAGGAAAAAAATTGTCCTTAATATCGATGGAAAAAAGCAAATGCCCAATAATTTGCCCAAATCACAAAATTTTAATATATACTGGACAATTACACTGTCTTTATATTAAGTGAAATAATACTAATATATATTTACTGTAAGTATTGAGCATGGTGTAATTACCTGTTTATTGTTGTGTGAGCACAAATACACCTACCTGACTTGATTTTAGAATCACTAAGAAACGAGTTTTTCCTTACCAAGATGCCCACACTGACAGTTCAAAGCCTTTCTCACCAAGTGTTATGACCCTGATTTGAGCTTGAATTTGTTCTCTAATAGTTACTAACAATAGTAGATGTCTTGAATTTTGCCTTTTAATGTTTCAAAACAATGAACTGAAAAAGAAATCTTTCTTGATCAATCCTCTTGGCAATTCCCTGATTATATGTCAACTGGAAAATTTAGCAAAGAGAACTTTTTCAAGGTCACCAAGATAAGAACCCACAAGTTTCCAACAAACAAATAAAAAGCACTGTACTGTACAGCACTGTTTTCTTTATCTGTTTAAAGTTTACAAATAATTACAAAAGTGGTTTAATCAAATCACACAGATAGCCTTTCAGCAACTGAAATGCCTTAAAAAGCTTGAAAATGATCTGTTAGTATCTAATTTACGAATTGTTCAATCAAATGATTGTTATTAATAAAGGGTGATAAAAATATATAAAATTGATGATTTTAGGTGGATTTAGGTCAGTGTCAGCACCAACAGCTAAACCTGCAGGTCAACAGAAACCTCAACAACCCAGTATGAGATGTGGTGGATGTGATATGTTAGCCACGTAAGTTGTAATTTTTGTTAATGCACCCATATAACACCTGGCTAGTAATGTCTGGGATGGTTATCAACATAGTGCTTTATTGTGCAAAAACCATAAAATCAGTTACAAAGTATTACATTTAAGATGAAGTCTAACTGTTATCATGTTACAATCTGCTTATCGGGTAATAGATCTGCACCACATTTATATGGGATGGTGGTTGCAATGATGTCTTTGATTGTTTTCTTTATCATGAACCATGAACTACTTCAACTTGACCTTTACTTGATCATGAACCTTTACTTGATCATGGATTGGAATTCTGATGAAGTTTGAAGGTCTTTCAGTCATATTCTCATGAATTCAAATTTTATTTTTATTTTAGAGGTGTTATTGTGAAAGCTAAAGGTAATCCCTACCATGTTGCATGTTTTAAATGTGCATCCTGTAGTATGAATCTAAAACAAAAAGGTAAGTTCTATTCAAGAGAAGATTAACCTTATGGCTTAGCCTGACAAATCAGGCCCCTCCTAGTTCCTCTGACATGATATTCGGATGGGACATCGGAACTAGGTTTAGGGCATGGTAGCTTCTCTGACCCATTTTTGGGTTACTAGTTTTCACCATGACAAAACCCCTGGCCCTAAACTCAGTTCTGATATCGAATCAGAATATCACAGAGGATTTGTAGGGCTACTTAGGGCTAGGAATATTCAGATTGTGGACAGGATGATTGTTCATTTGAACTGATTCTTGAAAATATACTAAGCAATAACCTTAAAACCATTTACAATTTTTGACAATCAAATCTGTTAATTACAGGTTATTTTGTGGTAGATGATAAATTATACTGTGAAACCCATGCTAGAAGGATGGCTCAAGCTCCGGGAAATGATATGGTGGCTGTACCAGTTTATAGGTAAGATTTAGACGGAAAATAACCCCAAAACTTTCTTTTATTTATTGGAATTTGAAAAAAAAAACAATACTCTTCATTTATTATGATTTTTTCAGCTTAAAAGCTTAGTCTACTGTATTGCTTTTCTCTTTTCATCCCATGCTTCTTTCCACTGTTAGTTTTGAATAGTATATAAGGTCATGATTACTACTGTGTTTCTCTGTAGCAAGTAAACCTAGTATAAGGGGACAAAGTGACAACTATTCATGGCAATCAATACTTGCAATGGGCCATGATTAACTTTTTTTATAATTCTTTCAGGTAAACAGTGATGAGAGAATGGAATGAAAGAATATATAATGTATGGAATCATATTCCAGGAATTTCTAGTGATTATTTTACAGACTTGTTTCACATTGTGCCTTGAAACTATTTCAGTTTGTTATATAGTGAGGAATGAAAAAGTACGCCCTGCCCACCTAGTGATTATCCAAAGAAAACAGACTAACTTATTATTGTTACAAATTTGCAAAGTTTTGTGCCACTTCATCAATCAATATGAATTCAGATTTATTTACTGATTCTGGCATTGTTATTGACTGAAAAAGATTTTTCAGAAAAGGACATTAATGTTATCTTCCTATTTCATGTGTGTTATATTGACAATTGGAAAATACTTCTGTACACAGACTAGAATGAATATATTATATAGAGACACTGATCAGCTTGTTCCTTCTGAAGCAAACTACTAGATCTTTTAAATAACGGAACACAATGGTATACTACTCCTTATATGGAGATTCGACACTTGAAAAACTAAGGAGTAGTATAACATAAAATAGTGTTCCATTATTTAATGTGATTACTACCCTAAATGTCGCTAAAGGATGATTTACTAGATCCTTGTTGAGCTCAGTATATGAAGCAAACTATGCCTACTCGGAATATGAGGAGGTTTCATGTAGTAAGACTCAATTGAATTCAATAACAGCCTTACATTTTCTATGAAATTCACTTCAGTAATAGGCCATAGATCAATTGTTTTTTTGCAAGTAAATGCTCTAGTGTACAAATTTTAATTATTTTGTCTATTGCTCATAGTGACATTTATCTTTTCATGAGTTTTTATTTTCAGTTTGTTCTCAGTAGCCTTTTGGCATTATTTACGACAATAGCTCCCCATTACTTACATTTAGACATTAGCTGGCAATATTATTGTAGATTTTTTATTTTTTATGGCATTTTGTTAAGGGTAATGTAATGCATTTAATTGTTTTGTTTGTTTATTTTTTATTTTGTTTACCTAATATTATTTATGGCTAATTTGTCGCCTGTGACAGGATATTCATAATATTTAATTAATAGGCCTGCTTACAAATATATTTACTTAATGATAAATTTTTATAAGCAGATAGCATTTTGTTAAATTTTGGTTTAAATATCCCCAAGGGATTATGGTCATCTTTACCACCTGATAGATGTAATTTTCATATGTTGCAATCACATATTATTATCCTAATATTATTAATACCTGCATGGGAAACTTAGATTTATAAATTAAATTAGTGGATCTTGACAGGTATGATTGAGCTGTAGTAGGTGCCAAATATTTGGAAGGCAATATCCCTTGAATTAACGGTATTTTATAATTAAACTGGAAGATTTGATCTGTTTACTGACATTGATATCCATATTAGATCTGAATTGAGCTATATTTATTTATTAGTTGTTGATATAGGAGTGTTTTATTTTGATATATTGTTGATAAATGAGTTTACCCTCTTAGATTTATTATTAATTACACAAGATTGAAGATTGCATAATAAAATAATATGTTATCTCAGTTCTTTTAGAATTTATTTACTCGTGACTTACGTTATACTATCAAATTGAGCTAGTGTTCATATTGCACTTAAAGCCTGCCGCAGATGAGAGGAACTAGCTGAGCTGTTTAAAGGCTGTCAGCTAAGCAACATTCTCAATACTTATATCACCGCAGACGGAAGTCGAGAGCTCTCGTCTGAGCTATTGTTTCAAAATCTTAGATGAATTCCGTACGCCAAATAAACACCCGAAGAACGTTCGGACTGCATCCATGTCACATAGGTGATCAAAATGGGCTCATTTTCTTGTTTTGGAATTCTGCAGAAAAAAACAGCATTTCTATTGGTTAGCTACTTTTTCTAGCTCAGCTGGTAGTTTAGACGTCCGCACACAGTGAATTTCTGGCCTCTTGAGGCAGAAAATATCAATCAAGGTAGATATTTTCCTCACAGACTCTCGAGGCAAAAACCTCACTAAAAATTCAGCCCACACAGGGGAAACAGCTCAGTTACCATTCCCTTGAGGCAGGCAGCTCGGCTACAGTTCCTCTCGTCTGCGGCAGGCTTAAGGTATGCAAAAAAAAACAATTGAAATGTACTTTAGTGAATTAATGTCAAGTTTTTCACAAAGGGCAGGAGGGACAGTATTCAGAAATGACAGTTTTGCATCTAAGTATCCCTGATACACATTTAATGGGTTGAAAACCTCAGATCTTTGAATCCCTTTTAATGCTTTTTTTTCCCTTTTCTGGCAAAAATTTGTCGTACATAATATACCATCCCACCATTAGATATTCTAATTATTATTCTAGTGATAGTGTTTATATTATTTATACACCACTCCTTAATATCATTAGTAGTTTTTAATAAAATCTATTTCAATTAAATTTAGTTTCAATTTCAAACTGTTTTTCTTTGTACGGTGCAGATAAAATTGCCAGAGCCCTTGACTCAACCTATGCTTTTGATTTCTGTTTCTTCAAAACATCTACTAGTGGCACTCCCCTCAAAGCTGCTGACCTTACTTCAGCGCTTTTGACAGATGAACATGCCCAGAACTAAACTGTTGACAGAGCCCATGATTTCATATGGTTTTACCAAATCCAAGATTCTTAGATTGGTTGACCTTTCTTCAAAGCATTTGTCTACTTTTTTTCTCCTTTAAGACATATCACATTGAGCCAAAGGTTGAGTTAATAGTGAGTCAGTTTTTGAAGTCTGGGAATTTGAGCAATATTTTAACATGTCTACCAACCTCCAGGCTAATGCAAAAGCATTACAATAACTTCTCTATATAGAACAGGAATGTAGCCTCATTGCCCTAATGTGAACGTAATGTTTTGACAATAGGGCCTACTGTGCTTTGTACATAAGAAAAGAGAATATCAAATAATATGTTCAATAAGGTTCTCTTGATACAACATAGTTGACCTTGAACCTGTGTTCTGATATATAGCCAATCTAGGCCTATCTCTTGTTGGACTACTACTGTGGTTCTAGTTGCAGGATGGCAAGTTATCTTTCCACCTAAACAGTTTTTTCTTGATAGTCTTATTATCAGTATTGGTTTAATAGCATGTAGGCATATGATTATTGCCATGACCAAGCAAATGGCCAATGAAACATATTATGCATAGGCCTACTACACTATAGGCTGTAGCCCATTAGGGTGGGGTCTGTGGGGGCTGGGCCCCAGCAAATGAAAATTAGGCACCAGCAAAACCTTAAATTTTTCTGTTCATTTACAGTGTCTTTCTACAAAATCAAAAAGACATATTTTGATATGTTTTTGAAACCTAAAAATTGTCAGAAATCAGTTCTCAAGGCCGTTAATTCTTCAAATTTTCTGAGTTCAAAATCTGAGCCCCAGCACCAATTCATTCCTGGCGACGGGGCTGCTGTAGCCTGAGCATTAAACAATAAAGCCTTGAAAATAATCAGATACACATCAGAGATAACACAGTAATAACCTTCCACTAATAGGTACATTTTGGCTAAGTACATGATTAATTATCCTTAGAACTCTTTGCCAACATCCATTTCCTCCAGGCAAATTAATTGCATAATTCAAATTTCCCGCCAAGTATTATGACGGTCAGTGGTGTCTTGAATCCTCCGCCCAAGGCGGACTGCATCCGCCGTCCCAACAGGTCATTTGAGACTTGATATTCGCGAATTGAAAAGCACTAATGACGTTATTTGTAGACGTCATAGAAAATCACGTAGTTCTGATGCAGGCTGCAATAAAAAGTTGGAATGTTTTTAATACGTATGACGAAACGAAACAATAAATGAATCTTGTTCTATTTCAACATGCAGAAAAAGCTCTCGGGCGTAGGTTATCGATGTCAGAATAGTCCAAAAGATACTATCGCTAACCTATGCCACTGGAGCTTTTTCTGACATTTTTGACCAGAGCAGAGGCAGAAAATCTAGATATGCTCCGCTTTTATTGCAATGTTACAATTCTTAAAATTCAGGTAAATTTGACATTATCTCTACTCACAAGTAAAATCAAAAATAAAAATAACATGGCGCGCTTACTTTCACTCACGTTCAAACTCGCCACAATGGTATTGCTAAACATTTGCATGTTGAAAAAGAACGATTTATTTAATGTTTCGTTTCGTCATACGTAATAAAAACATTCCTACTTTTTATTGCAGCCTGCATCAGAAAAACGTACTTTTCAGTTCGCGAATATCAGATCTCAAATGATCTGGCGCGATGGCGGACGCGTTCCGCCTTCGTCGGAGGATTCAAGACACCGAAGGGTCAGTGTAGGTGGAATGTAACGTGTGCAAAAATGACTCAGGTAGATTAGATTAACTTGTCATAAAACTCCAACTGGAAATATTCGTCAATATGATCAAGACTACTTGCAATATATCCTAGAAGTTGAGTTGTTGGTTAGTGGATGGAAAGTAAAACTAAGGGCATTATTTTAAAAGTAGCGGCTAACATCTATCGAGTGGACATTACATTGTGAGGAAATGTCGGTCCTGACTTTGGAAGCCAAATTAGAGAGGGCTGAAACTAATACACCATGGGGATTTCGTATGCAGGGTGGAAAAGACTTCAGCAGTCCATTGACAATTCAAAAGGTAAGTAAATTAACTGTCTATTCATTCATTCCTCTGCTATTGTAATCTATTGTATATAAGATACAGTAAGGACTGGGGTATATCACTGTGGGCTATATGAAATATAATGAGTATATTGTATATATCAGGTATGCTATATTGTATATCTCACAGTTGAAGTATGAAATATGATAGAGGGGGGAGGGGGGGGGGGCATTATGGCACTGATAAATTCCTCAAGAATAGGTTTACTCTGTACATGTATACTTACATATCCCAACAAGTCCTGAATTTCCTAAAAAAATAAACTTACTACTAGAAAATATTCAAGTTTTAAAGTAAACAATATATTCAATTTGAATGTTTTTGGATTTAGATTCAAGATTTAAGTATGACTATAGGTTAGGTATTTGAGAATATAAAATTAGAATACTGAATAAAGTGTAGTATATGAGATTTGAACTGGGCCATATCATGATTGAAGTATAGGATACAGATTAAGAATGTAAAACATGTACCATAGTATTGTAAGACAGTTTAAATCTCAACTGTAAAAAACTAACCTATTTACCTACGTCAATAGTGTCACACCTTTTTTCAATAGAATGGCTAGATTTAGGGTCATGGGTAACTAGCCTTTGATATTTGTCTTTTTATTTCCTAATACCACATGTACATTTGACTTATATATCATGATATGGTTTTACTCCATGGTGTCTATAAAAAATTTGTTCCAAAACTTAAATACTAAGAAAATTGAAAATGATTTCACTGAGTCAATCAAAATTTGTGTTTGCTTAAAACTTAACAGTATAGCAAGTTTGTCTCCTTTTAAAAAAGAAATGAATATTATTTTAACAATGAGTTAGTTGTTGAAAATTGATTGAAGTTTGAACTGTATGAACTAACTTTAAAAGTTAGTGTGACATTATAAGCTAATTGAATAAGTTTTAAAAAGATGTATACATTAAAATCAGTATTTTTTACATTTAATTAATTTCTAAAGTGGTATTAAACTTGTCAAGCATTGATGAAAGAGATATATAAAATTTGATTGAAACAGGATTCACAATATATTTCATAGTTTCATTTTGTATAAGTCATTCTATGAGATTAGTGTCAGCTCACAAAGTTGTTATTAAATTGTTTGATTTATAACAGGTAAGCATGTTAAAAGATTGAGGTTTTAATTATGCCTGTATTGTATCTGTGATTTATCCAAATTCAATTTTTAACATCAAACCTGTGTAGAATATTGCACCCCAGATATGGCCTTTGTCTCTAGATTAGTTCCTTTTGATAATTCATGATGTTTCCTCCTCAATTCTTTTTTTTGCATATTGCATGAAGTAATTAAATATTATCTGGGTATAAATGGAACAATTGTATGATAACATGGAAATATAATCCGTAGGAAAAATTAAAGTTCCCTCTTGAATAAGATTTATAATGTTATATGATTTATAACAAGGTAGAATAAATGTAAATAATTCAGACAATTTTAAGTGTCGGCTAAGAGTTTTTTCCTGAGTCGGTAAAATTTATATAGAGTATTCTACCAGTACCGGTATATACTTCAGATCACCTTGAACTATCACAGTACAGGTCTGTTTGGCAGATGGTAATACATCCCCATGGCAACAGTTGCAGGAATCAGTTTTACTTTTGGCACCAACCATTAAGATGAGTGCTAGCTACCTTTTATGGTAGACCTCGAATTCCTTGGCATTGAATGAACTTCATTTACAAAACTAACCTGTCTTACCTTTTTTCAGGTGAATCCAGGTAGTCTGGCAGCAAAATGTGGTTTACAAGTGGGAGATATCATTCTGAAAATAGGGAATTTAGGTGCTGAAGTGTTGAGACATAAAGAGGCCCAAGATACAATAGTGGCGTCTGGCAATAGACTGGATTTATTATTGCAAAGGTAACTAAAAGATATTTTGGATTATTGACAGTGATTTATTTATAGTAGTTGCTGTACTATATTGGTGTTATCTACAGTACTTCGTATATGACATCATTTATTTTTTCAATTTTGAATTAAAAAACTGGAATATGATTATAGGAAAATAATTTTGAATTAAAAACTTGTGAAATATTCACCTGGGTGAATATAAATAGTTTTTAATTCAAAATTATGTTTTATAATTTATTTATATTATATATAATTTATATTCCAGTTTTTTTATTCAAAATTAAAAAAAAATTGTGTCGTATATGAACCACCACAGTTATAAAGTAATCATGAAAATTATTATTGACAAACAAAAACAAATCCCCCCTTCTACACCTCCCATCTCCCATCTCCCATCTCCCACAAACAAACACTATAGTCTTCAACAGCACATATAAATATAAATATTACAACAGTAATATAAATACTTATTAATAGAAACACAAGATAAGCATAAGTTAATAATTGAACTCTATGCAAAGGATGTTGAACAGCAATATTCAGTCATTCAGGAAGGCTGAGAATGACTTGCACAATTAGTGACACGAAGTTGTTAAAGTTGTGGATCTTATAGATGGACACATTTAAGATTTAAACTGAATGGTTATTGGTTACTGACTTAACCTACATCTACTGATCTACATAATCATCTCATAACAATTAACCTATATCTCACATATGCACATGCTCTATCATGTATATTGTACATTTTGTTTGAAAAACACAAAAGAAATAGTAGATGATTTGCACAGACCTACTTCATTTCTTGATGATATTTATATAATCAAAACAAGCAAACAAACAACCTTCATACTTCTCATACAAGTATATATAGCTCTGTCAGAAAAGAAAATGTTTTGTTGATATGACAGTAATGGAACTATTTTTGTGATTATCTAAAAAAAAAACAGTTCTATAAACAAACAATCCACCATATCTCCTCTATTTTGTTTAAAGACACAGGCATAAACCCACTCAATCTGTTATAAAGTATTTTTCTTAACCATGCTTTCTTCTAAAAAAAAAAAAACATTCAAGATCACAGTAAGTAACAGTAACTGTGAAATAGTGTTTAGGGTGATTGAAAGTTACTATTCAACTAAAGGCATTGGAACAGGGTTAATGTTTTGTTCACAACCAAATGACAAATTCCATACATTTACCACCCTGCGGTTGACCACCTCAATATGCTGGGTTTTCATTCACTTAGTTGAGATAAATTGTCAGGGAAATTGAGGTTTTATCTGTGAATCTATAATAGTTTTTTCTCAAATTAAAAGTGTTAAATTTGTATGTTTGTTTTAAAAGGAGTGACAAATCTGTCAGTTTAATAGTCTATGATATCATAATTTACTACCTAACTTTTATAACTAGCGGAAACCAAGTATAGGTGATTTCCTGAATTTTTAAGAAATATTTCCTGCTATTGTAATAGGATTAGAAAGTGTTTAAACCTACACAAACCCTGGTATTACTGAATTACTGGTATAATAAATAGGTCATACAGTACTAAATATTAATCACAGTTTTATCGCCTCCAAACAGAAATTTTTGTGGTTTTTATTGCATTGAAGTAAAAAAACAACAGTGTGTTTTTAATAATGAAACTTCTTTACTCAATGAAAGGTTCCCACCCAAGATTTTAACTTCTATCTTTGGAACATTATTGTTCTTAACTTATATATGATATTTGATTTATTCTCATGTCAATATGGAATCAATTATCTAAGGAAGGTTTTGATTAAAGGTCCTCCACACCTCATTTTCTGGGATTATTCATTTTAACCCAAATGGATGAGAAAATATTTAAACCACAGTGTCAATGGTCGTTTTGGTGTGTTCGAAAAGCTCATATTAGACAAAGGTTATTTTGGTGTGTTCCCAATAGATTATTCTCTCAATGAGTATTTAGGTCCTTGGTTCCCTGGGGGTGTGGTACTAGGGTGTAGGAGAAAAATTTAATTTGAATTGAGAAAGCACCTCACATCATCACATGCTGGAAATGTGGATTTTTTGGGGTGTGAAAGGTGATTGTTCCAGAGGTGTGAAGGTTGAAAAAGGTTGGGAACCACTGATTTAGGTGTTTTCTGGTCTCGATGACTCTTTAGGTGTTTTCCCTAAAGTTTATGGTATCAATGACTATTTAGGTGTTTTCCCTAAAGTTTATGGTCTCAGTGACTATTTAGGTGTTTTCCCTAAAGTTTATGGTCTCGATGACTATTTAGGTGTTTTCCCTAAAGTTTATGGTCACAATGACTATTTAGGTGTTTTCTCTAAAGTATATGGTCTCAACGACTAGGTGTTCAGTGCCAAAACATTTGGACATATCCAAAATAAGCATCAAAAGCAAAAGATGAGCTCTTCTCAATTAGTTTTTGTTTAATCAAACATGTTTGACATTAGGCACAGGCTCTCAGCTGCTCTCTTTTAACCCATTGGGCCATAACATAGCATTGTAATATTCGGTGAACACCCTCTGAATTTGTATCTCCACATGTAAACAGACAAACACCTTACTCCACCCTACTAGAGATGATATCAATAAAGATTTGAGGTTTTCCTTGACCCAGTTAAACTAGAATATTATATACATGATAGACCTCAGTAATAGGTTTATTGTGATTTTGTTTACATGTAGTAAGTCTATTTTATGAGTATGTACATGAATAAATGAATAGAAAATATACAGTATATAGCCTAGGTACACATTATAAACTTTACAGTTACAATTTTATCTACTTGTTTCATTGTTCTTTTTTGTCTAGGGGCCTGATATTTGCGTTGGTTATCAGGGTAATTTTTGATTGGGTATTTTCCTTCAATATTATTACAAAAAGGTCCAGAAATGAAACGCAATGCCATGTTTTATACATAGAAAATGTGATTTTTCTGTTGAAGTCAGTTTAAGATGTTAGCAGTTCTATATCTTTAGGTACTTTTGTTGAGCTCAGACCAGGATTATTTGGAATAGGGTAAATTGAGGTTCTCATAACTGACCTTTATGCATAAAAAGGCCATGCAGGTTGGATAGAGTTCTGGAATGATATCAAATTGTAACAGTTATTAAATCTATGATTTAAACCAGTGCTTCCCAAGGTAGGAATTGGAAAACCATGGAGGGGAATTATTGACATGGGGAGGAATCTACTGACTGCCATTTCCTACCACTTATTTAGAGGAGTGCAGGTTCAGTTTGTTAGTTGAAGATAACTGGAAATAAGAAAAATGCAAACGAAGATTCGGCTTAAGGATCACAATTTGATGTGGAGTAGGATTTTCTATGACCTCACTGAAGGAATTCCTGTTAAAAAATTAATCATGAAACTTTAAGATATTCATTACTAGAAAATATAAACATGAAATATAACAGGGGAACTCCAACTTTAAGATGTTTCTCACTAAATAACAATAATAGCAACAAAGTGTGAAAATAAGAAATATAACAGTTGAACTTTTTATTTCCTATAGATAGATCATGTTTCACTTTGATACTTGAATAACCCTATCCTATAATAACCTAACACTATAATAACCTGTTGAACTCCAGGGTTATTGTTGTGGGTGTTTAATTTCTCTCCATTATAATTAGTCTTACAAGTTTTTATGGTTATTGAGGAAAGATACTCTTAAATTAGACATTTTTGAAATTCCTTAACTTGATGTGATTTATTTTGAAAATATTTGAGTGGATATATGTATGAATATTTAACTTCAATTTAAAAAAAAAAACAATTTAGCCTCCCTAATATATTAGTGGCTCTGCCAGAGACAGAGTAAATTGGAGTGAATTTTTCTTTTAGGGCATGAGCACAATGAACTCAGGGCCTCAACTTATTAATTAATTTAATTGCAAACTAGAAAGTGTTTATCTGCAACTCTGTCTCTCCTTTTACATTGATACAATCAATTGGAAAGGAAGAAATTCATGTAAAGAAAGATAAGATAGGTAGATTTATCTAATTGTCGTCTAAAATTTGAAAATTTAGAAAACAACATTGAAAAATAATGAATACCATAACAAAAATAACATGTTGTATGCATGACTTGACAAAATTTAAAACAAATTTAAATTTGACTGATTATCTAACTGAATGATTAACTAGGCTGCTATAAAGTATTAACAAATTATAAATTGTATTTAAATGAATTATAAAGACAAGTATTGTTGTCTGCTGACTGTCGACTGACTGTAGTTTATCTTGTTTTCTGTCTCAAGTTTAAGTTGAAATTCTATGACTCAGCAGGCACACTTTTTCAGAAATCATAAGATTTTTGAAGTTTTTCTGTGCTTTTGATACAGATAACAAAAACCAAGTTTTAAAATTACATTAAGTTTATATAGATAATACTAGAGAATATACAGCTCAGCAGGAAGAATATTTCAAGAAGTAAGATAGCATTGATGATTTCTATTGACAAGAAAATTTGCTTCATGCTTCAAATATAGATATTTTAAACTTATGTCATGCTTTCAAGATGAAATATAAGGCATTTTGTTTAAAAAAAATAGATGATACTTTAGATTCAATAACTCAGTAGGACAGAATATTTTGGATAAAAATACTTTCTTAATGACTGTTACTGATAGATATATTTTTTTAATAGAAATTTTAAACTAGATTTAGTATAAAGAAATGGTTACATTTTTAACTTAATTACATGGCTGTGTTTTTTTAAAACCTTTGTAACTACCTCAAAACATGTATTATTACTATTATAGTATTTGTCATATTTGGATGGTTTTGTGGCATTTGTACTGTTAAAGCGCTGACATAAATATGCTAAACACCTACAGAGACATTTCCCAATTTTTAACTGTTGATCTTTATTACCTCCCTAGTAGACTTCTTTGTTCTTTTGTTAATTATTGTTCCTACGGTAGACCCCCTAACTTAAATATTAAGGTTTCAAACCCTAGGTTAAGGATAAAAATTAGGCAATGTGATTCACCTACCTGAATTATTTTGTGAAGGGGAAACAGCATGTTAAATGATTAATGTAAAATCAGTTAAGACGGGTTGGTGCTAAAGGCCTTCCAACCGTAGAAATAATTTTTAATCTTATATTCCGCATTAACTTTGTCACTTTCTACTGCATCAGTTATTTGCCTATGAGCTTATCTGGCTTGATATTAAAAATGATGAGAGAAAAGCCTCTTTTACACCAGTCTGCTATAAAGCGTTCCGTTTTCAAATGGGGACCAGGCCACAATAAAATGTGCCCGTTTACATTGCAGTAATTTCAAGTGGTCTGAGAACGGTTCTTCAGTTGTAGTATTAATAAAAAAAAATCATTCTCGGCATTGTCAACTGTGAAACTCTTCTTGAAGAAGTAAGAATTAATCCTTGTAGTCAGGGTGTAATCAGAGCCAGAATTGGAACAGTTTACATTATACAAAATTCATTTGTTCTGAGAACAGACAATTTTTGAAATGTAAATGGGGTTAAAGGCAGTCCATTAGGGAAAGTGTATTTCACCATCACTAACAGTATGTAGTCTGTAAGTCTGATGTAAGTTGTAACAGTAACATGTAATAAGTCAATAAAACACAGAAATCATTTGTTTACATTCTAGTCTATCTTTATACCAACTTTATACCAAGCTTACAGTCAGGTTTAATTACTTTCATTAACTTAACTTACACATTATTTTGAGAGGTAAACTGTTTCAAAATCTACATACATCACAGCTTTATATCTAAAACTTCATCACCATTTATAACAACATTAGATATTTGTAACTGCAGCTTTATATTTGAAAATTCACAACCACTCTGTAACAATAAATATTAGGCAAAACTTACCTTGAATTACCATTAAAAAGAAAACACCTTTAATATGAAATTAATTTAAAAAGTTATTTTTCAATACCAACACCTAATATTATTATTTGGTTTCCTATCAGGATAAGAAATTTGAGTTCACCAGGGTAAGTATGTATATAGAAGAGAATGTTGATGTTGTCCAATAACAAGCATGAATGGGAGAGAGGGTTTGGGTGGACAGTATTAGGTGGTAAAGTTTCCAATTAAAGCTGGTGAAACATCAAAATAATGACAATCATAACTCAATATTGTTAAGAAATCTGATATCTTATGGAGTATGATGTAAGTTCACCACAAATTTGTATCTTTGTCAGTCACCAGTATAGTCCTTCAGTCTGGAGAGCATTGAAACTGATCAATTATTCAAACTATATACAACTTAAAAAACTCAATCCTGTTTGAAATAGTTTACATATTTTACCTATAGACTAGACATATTAACTGATTGAAATAGATTGTTGAGGTCATACAGTTTGATTATTTATGACAGGTGAATGACTTATTAGTCAAGGGATGACCAGCAAAATACTGTGCTGTAAGGCAAGGATTGGAAAAAAACATGTTTAGCTAGAAAATATCCTATTTAAACTATGTATATGGACGATTGATGAAATCTATATTGTGAAAGAAACTAATGAATGAGATAGAAAATAACATATTAGAAGCATGTCACAATTTGTAATAGTACAAGATGACAATTATCATTTATAGTGAACAATACACATACCAACTGAATTCTGAAAGATTTGTTGAAACTAAAATTTATTATTCAGATAAAGTGAAGAATAATTTAGATTAGAACAACACTGTTTAAAAAGACCCACAAGAAATCCGGGTTAATTAACAATCCTCATAATACTATTATCTTGGTAGGAAAGATGATCTAAATATAAAAGTCAATTTCTACTTGATTCTTGTCAGCTGTCAGTCTAGCTCTCTAGAATAAGAGGATTATCCATACTTATTTACAGCTTGCAAACTGGAAAAGTGAGAAAAAGATTCATTCAAGGTCATCAACCTGGTCTTTAAGTTACCAGTTACAGTGCTGTGGAATTTAGAGGACAAATGCTGCAAAAATTCTCTAGCCTAATGTAAAATAACTCGTTATTAGTGTTAAAGTTATTATTTCTGGATTTTATTTCACCATTTAGCAACTCTAGAATTGTAGATTTTTTAAGGGTTTTCATGTTTGTTTTCTTTTTATTTTAGGGGAGGATCAACACCATCTTACGAGACATTTTCCACACCACAAACCAACAGTTTTACACCAAAAATTACACCTGTTAAAAGTGCTAGTCAACCAAATGCAGTAAGTATCAATATTATTGCTTATCTGTCTAATTGTTTTCTTATAATCAAATCCATAGATGTTTTAAGAAGGATGCTAGTCTTTTCGTCAAGAACGTGTGGTGGTATTTTTTTTATCTTTTGGAGAAGGTTTTTTTTATTAAGTAAGGTATATTAACTACATTAATTTTGATTTCTACAGAAAAATAATTCTTGACCACTTGATTCAATGTTTCATGATATCGTGTGTCACCATTGTTTATTAGCACTTGTGAGCCTGATTGTTAATTGGTGAAATTGAAGAATGAAGGTAACTCACAGGGAGATCATTTGTCATTAAAATGTACAGCAGCAAGTTTAAGGTTTCACAGTCTTGTTCTGTCTTGATTAGAACACTGAGCGTCAAATTTTGTTTACAATATATGCAAATGATCAACATTGATTAACATGTGGTGCACCTGATGGTAATTAGAGATTTATTGGAAAATGCATTGTTAACATAGGGTCAAGGTCAAAGGTTTTGCAGGTGCTGCACATGATTACATCTTCTCATGTCAATTTGATTAGCTACTTTCTCCTGCTTGTTTTGGACTATACACAAAGGCTTGGTTTGGTACAAGCTTGGCTATCTCATTGTCCTTGTTTCATTTGGAAGTTGAGAAAAATGCTGGCTTATGCTCGTTTTCTGGCAAAATTGTTCTTTTTGGTCCTGAATGGTATTTCTTGACGTCATTAGCCCCAGCTTAGCAGTTGTGAAGCAGGAAGTAAAACTTCATTTTGTTTCAATCGGCTATCACTGACATATATTAGTCTTATCACTATTTATATACATATATTACATTGATTGACCAGCTCAGACCACTACTATATATCAATCAATGATTATTGACCACAAACTAGCCTACTTGTTTTGACCACTTATCACAATCCTAGTAGTTAGTCAGTATTGGTATTTCTACTATCGATTTCATATAAATAGTAACAGGTAGGTAATAGTCAATTAGTCATGTACTTCCTGGTGATTATTCAGAAGTTATTGGCTCAATTCCCTCTTAATGATTGTTGTTTTATGCCTCTTCCTGTGCTTCTGAGAGTTTTGTTACCCTCTACCATGTGTTTATTAGTTTGTGTGGTATTGTTAGTTGATATTTTCCACTGATTTAAAGATTAAGTATATGATAAAAGATAACTGAAAAGACAGGTGTTACCTATGACTGTAGTTAATTTGGCTTTGTTTCCCTATTTGTCATCAGAGAATGCTTAGGTGTCAAAAGCTTGAATCTTCTTTAATGCACAAGCATATTTTTGGTAATTCCAAAGTGCCAATGAGCAATGAGTTTGAACCCTTTATAACTCTTGTTTGCTGGTAGATCATGGAATTGAATGGTTTTCTACTTAGTACATATAGTAAATGATAAACATACATCAGTAGCCAGGTGTTAACTAAATTGGTTGAACTCACAGTATTTTCAGAGATGATCAAAAAGTAGCTCTGTTAGAGAGAATGACATCGTCAGATCTGAAAACCCAATGTGTTTGAAACACTGGGAATAGACTTTGAATGAAACAACTTGGCATTTTCAGAATCAATCAACCCAGAACTTTTTTCTCAGATTGGATTTTATACAGAATATTGACGCCATACAATATATTAAAACAGCTCTTTGAATATTGCTTCTGTATGTTATGGTCTATGGTATTAGATAAGAACTGTATATATTATAAAGATATACTGGTACCACTTGTTGAAGTGTAGGCATGAGATTGGTGCTAGCTATAAAAGGCTGGATTATTTATATCATATAGATAGTAACATTATACTATACTCTCTACACTAAAACTTTACAAACTATTACATAATATTATAACTTTATTACATACAATTACAGTGTTTTATGCATAAATTTGCATAATATTTACATATGATTAATTATATGTTAATTGCTGTAACATATGTACCTGTTTGAACAATATACAGGTATATGACCTACATATTAGAGTGGAATATTCTCAGGGTTAGTGTAGGTACTGTTCTGACATTCCACTGTCAGACTAACTACCTGGGAATCAGTAGAGACAAGGTTATAGCTGATAACACTACTAACTTTATGGATTATTTTATTTAAAAGGACAATATGGCGTATCCATTCCGGGTAAATATTTATTCAATTGATTTGTCCTGCCTTATGAAATGCTCTAATTAAATTTTTATCTGTGAAAAAAATAAATTGCTTCTGTACCAATCTTATTGGAATGTTCTTGGCAAAATTTCTTGTGATGCATCAGCCTATCTTTCAAATCTGTTTTTCTTTTTCTCTATTTTCTGGTTGGGATGATTTTGTTTACCTATTTTTAGCTAATTATTGGTTATTTTAAGACCACCATCTGATGCTATAAATAGAAGGTAGAAATAAGCACGATGATAAAATAAAGAGGTCTATGTTCCTGTTGAATTGTATGAGGTTTACTGTATCACGTATTCAACTATCTAACTATTCTCAAGCCCACTCTTCCAGCTGTCAATCTTCATTATAATTCTAACTCACACCCTCTAATTAAAATGTCAAGGTGCAGATAAATGTACATTTTCTATGTGAACTTTTGGCAATGTTTGGCAAGTAAGATTTGCCCTTTGACTCCAATGACAAGTTGTTATATGAACTTTTGGCTTTAGCTCACTTTCTAAATAAGGGCTTTTCTGTTCTTTGCAAACATAAGTGTTTTCATACTAATGTTATATTGGAGGTCGAGGCAGATATTTCTCAGGAGCTGGTTGTGGTAGTTGAAATTTGAAATGATTCTACAAGGCTTCGGAAAACACTTTGACAAGCAAAACATATAATCTTCAAGCTTTACAGGATGTAAATAATTCCTCAAGTTCTTAAATAAGCACAATGTTAGAATTTTCCACCATATAGCATGGTTGCACAAACACTATATGAAGCATGAATATAGCACTGAATATGCTGCAATCTCTCAAGATAAATCACACCAACCATATGTACATGACATATCTTGACTCACAATTGCCCTGTTGTGTCATCAAGTCAAATTCATTATATAGTTAGACAGCTGCTGTCTGTAATGTTTTCAAATAACTTTCTGATGGGCCTGCACAGGTTGATAATACTGTCTCTTTTCAATGAATACAAATGAAAATTAAAGAGGTTACATTCCTCGCATATCCTCAGATAAGGTTAAGGTATGCTGACACAGTGCTCAGTGTTTAAGAGGTGAATACCATACACACTTCTAAGATCTTAACTATATAGCCTTAATCGCCTGCATTAAACATAAATGGCTTATACATTTGGTATAGTTCCAACTTCAACAGATTTTGACAAAATAAGTTCAGGATTGACAGCAATTAATACTAATTAAGTGGAATCCTCACCAACAAAATCTTGGCTGTAGTTATTATTTTAAATCTTTCAATAGACATTTAAATTTCTTTCTAAGAAAGCACTATATATCAAGCGGTAATCCCTCTAGGACCTAGAGTAATATAACCAAATGAAAGTCGTGTAAGAAATATTTGTAAATAACACAATTATGTTTTGTTGCCTTTAGTAAATGTGTTTGTTAATATTATTTTATCAGTAAACTAGGAAAGATAAACTATCGTTAATCATGTTCTAAAATGTAAACATCAGGCTAAAATGTTGTTCACATATGGTTTATGTTAAGATGATATCACATTAATTTTCAACATCAGAAAATATTTGCCATCAACCATTATATATATATTATCAGAGCTATGATATCAATTGGTTTAAATTCTTCATGGAATATCTTTTTTAGTAACTCTTTTGATATGTACCAGAATATGATACTTCTAAAATAGTTCCATCATTGAAATAGAACTATATAGAATAAATAGTTATGGTGATAAAAGCACACTTGGTAAAAAACAAGTCAGCATTTCTACATTCCCCACCACAATAGGTGTCATTCCCAAATATATAATCAAAATCAAATTAACGTCTAACCATCTTTCATGCTTTTCTGTTCTCTTTTCAGAATTTCAATACATCGGCCAAGCCTTTTGGGGCTCCTAGTGCTCCTTCCTATGGAGGTCCAGGTGTTGATAACCTCACCAATAGAACACAACAACTTTCAATGTGAGTCAATTTAGTTTTTCTATGAAATTTTGCATCCCCATGGTTCCACTTTGTAAAGAAATCTTGACTGAAATCACCTAAATCATGCAAAGTGTTGATCAATGTTAAGTTTTTGTAATTATTAGTTTATTGACAAAATCTAATAACAAGTTTCTCAAAATTAAGTGTTGCTGATGGATTGAATAAAAAAATTACGCCAAATTTGTAATACTTCATTTATTTGTTATTTGTGAAGCAAACTATTTTTAAGATGCAAAAGAATATAACATTATGATTTAATTTTGAAATGAATTTTTTCAGGGAACCAGATTACAAAGCTGCTGCTCAAAAATATTCCGATTTTAACGACCCACCGGTTTCTAATCAACACCAATCGTCATCTTTCCGTCAACTTCAAAATATGATCGATTCTGGACAAGGTAGGATTTTTGTGGATTTCAAGGATTTTTCACTAAACGATGAAATGGAAATAGGCTTCTATTTTGTGACTTGTTGGGCAACTGTCATGTCCACTTGTAGAAGAATGGAAAAATACAATCGAAACATTGAAGCATTTTCAGAGTTGTTATGATTGCCTTCATCAGATGACATGTTTGATTCAGCTAACAAAATCAAGTGCAACCTTTCCATAGTATGAACAGATTCAGTTTTGATACAGTAGAGTAATATAAGGAACAAATAGAGAGGAAACTCATTTTTTCAACCATTTTTCTATTACTGAACTCTGGTGAAGATAAGTTGTTAAAACAATAATTAGATTTCAGATCATGATGATAAAACCTGTATATCAATAGTCTCTTGTTGCTGTTAACAATTTCTCAACATTTCATCTTTAGGGTTGAAATTTGTCAACTTTTCTTTTTCTTTCCAACTACATAATTGTCAACAGTTAGTTGGTATTAAGTTGGTCAAAGAATTTGAAAATCCCCTTACATAGTTTTATGAAGTATCCTACTTCTACCTATTACACTTGTAGTATTCATTCAGATCATCAATTCATTTAGCTGATCATCATCAACTTATTGCATGCCAACATTTCAGACATACCAAATGCCTTCAGACCTAGCCCTGCCGCCCCACCACCACCACCATCCAACCCCCAAACTTACATAGCTCAACCAGTGGGCCCTGGAGACACACCAGGCACTGTCAAGGCCATTGTATCTCAACGATATAACACACCAATAGGACTGTATTCTGATAGAAATGTACAATCAACATTTAAAGGACAATCTAAATTTCTTGTCAGTCCAGAGGAAGGGTACAGTATTTTATATTCTATGTTTTGTCTTGATCTGTTTCAAATTTAAATTTTTTTTTTTATAATTTCAAACAGATTTAGACATTTTGTATTTTTGATGATGTATAGAATAACTGACAATGGGTTATAAAGTTTCATGTAAAAACACTTTTAACTTTTTATGGTCTTAAACTGTTAGAGTCTTGATACCTTGGAAATGAGTTTCGAAAATTTCACACAGATATTCCATTAATCATTATATTGTTCATATTTCACTGTTGTTGTGATCACTTACATGACCTCAAAATTTAAGAAGTTCAGCAACAAGGCTATAGAGACATTATCAAAACCTTTATATCTCAGTTTGACAGTTATTTTATATATTTCCTATGTTTTAATTTCACATTTTAAAATATTGAATCGGTTTATTTTCAGTAGAATCAGAACCAATCCCACCTTGGAGGAGGTAGCCAAATTCAAATATCTCTTTTGTTTGTGTGTGAACACAATTTTTCCTTTTTCTTGCCTTTCACGATTTCTGATTTTCTTTTCAAATTTTGGAAGGAATTTGAGTTTTATTTCTGATGTGGTGGATGATATTTTTGAATTAGAATAGAATTTTTTTTTATTTCTTCTTTCACATCATTCAATACATATAAAACTTTTTCAAATATTTCCATTTTGATGTACCCTCCAGCCTCCTCCCATTTCCAATTACTAGGGTGGATTTTGATTTCAGATGCATTCTTATATATCTATACAAGCTATCTGAAATAATTATATGTTGTAAATGTAACATAATACTAATAGTTACCTTGAAACATAAAAAACCTTTTATTTGCCTTTAATTAGAAAAATAACAGTAAACTTCCTATACTATATAATTTATATGATGACTGCAGCCCAATTCCCTATAACATATTGATTCATAATGACCAATTTTCATATTTTTACTACAGCTCAATTTCATTAACCAAGTAATTGAATTACATACCAATTTTTATATTTTAACTCATTGTAACATAATTAAGCCCAGCTGAAGTCCATCCAAGATATATATGCAACTTTCCTGGATGTTGAAAACCAAGAGAGGACAGTTGACATTATTTTATAGTGAAATAAGTAGTAATGAACACAATGTATTTTGGCATTTGTGTATTCATTTACCTCAGTATATAATAGACTGTCTGTTTTTTTTTCGTGTTATTTTTCATGATTTGAAACATCCTGGTAAAAATATCTAACATTGACTAAATTATTCCCCTGGTCTCCAGCTATTTATTAAACATTGATTTTAGAATTATGAATGGAAGCCTTATATGCAAACTTGATTATTCCAATATTGATTATAGCTATAATAAGAAAATAATGAATTGCTATATTGTATGGTTTTAACAGAATGCAGGTTGTTTTGTTGTGTGTTCAGGGTACAAGCTTGATACATTAGGTATATTGAATAAACAAATCAGTTAGCTGAAATACTTCTGTCTGGAGATCGCACAGCTTGAAACTCTGAGTGACATGCTTCAGCATCTGTTATAATATTTCTATATCGCTCTACAATTGATGCACTATTTTAACAGTGAAAATATTTTGTTATTGTATCTCAACATTATTCATAAACCTACCTACAATATGCTATACAAATATCTCAAATTGCCTGCACATCAAACTTGTATCCTGTTATTTATATGTGTGTTAGTAAGGCATGTTGGCATGATTTTGTTTTACAGAGAAGAAATTCCCAATCAAGCACCTCCAGAGCCAAAACAAAATGGTTCATCTGAACCGAAAAAATATCAACCATCTGAGACATATAAACTTATTCATGAACAAGAAGAACCGAAAGCAAATCAGCCAAATCCCTCGCGTTCATTTAGATTTTTACAACAGCAGTTAGGAGATGATAGTAGTAAGCCTATTGGAGTAGGGAACAGAAATTCAGGGTAAATATATATTGATAATGGAGTCTTTAAGACAAGACCAGTGGTCTCTAGCAGATAATCAACCAATTAGACCAAAAATCAAAGTTAGAACTCTGATTTTTGATGCATAAACAAACATATTTGAATTCTTTCAATCAAATGTATGGATTTGAGACTTGTCCATTTCTTATAAAAGAAAGCAGACAAATCATTGTATACTTTTGAATTCAACTTCTTGATTCAGAAAAAACTTTTGTTTCTCTCTTCATCAACTTATTTTTAGTTTGTACGTCTGGTGAAGGTGTGCACATGTTTTTAGTCTCCCTGCATTTTAAGCATGATGCATGTTAGATTATTAAGAGTTATTTTGATATGAAAGGAATCTGAATTCCAATGGTCACAGATTTTGTGCCAATGTTCATTGCTTTGATTGAATAATAACCGTTGGATTCCAGATTCATTGAAGTGACTTGATACAATTTAATCAGAATAGGCATACAGATTATAAACATTGAACTATAATTGTCATTGGTTGACAAGAACTTCAATGTGTCCATAAATTTGGATTACTAGTCCAGTCTCCAGTCTCAAAAAAAATATTGAAAAATTCTGTTTTTCAGAATGTGACTGGGTTTACACAATTTTTGGATGAAAAAGATCTCTGAATGTCTTTACATCCTCAAGGTAAAATGATATACCCAAATTTTTCATCCTGAAGATCTGTTAACCTGATGTGGTATATTTAGATGGAACTTATTTTGGATTCTTTTGTTTCAGTCCTGCTTCAGCACCTGCTCCTTTCAATCCACCAGGATTCAGTCCTGCTTCAGCACCTGCTCCTTTCAATCCACCAGGTTTGAGTCCTGCTTCAGCTCCTGCTCCTTTCAATCCACCAGGTAATTATTATTAACGTTTATCTGAATGCTTCATAACAAAATTACAATCTTTTTCAAGAAATAAATGGCACCTGTTTCACATTGATTAAGATTATCAACTTTCAACAACAAGATTCAGACTGAATGAAGAACGATGGGATAAATAAAACACATTCTTTCAGAATACATAATGAAAACTATTATTATATTGAAACTAAAAATTTCTGATAAGTAGCCTTTCTAGTTATATTTTCATCATGGATTAACGTTGTTTTTTCAGTTGCACCTAAAGCACCAACCTGGACACCCAAACCAGCTCCTGTGGCAGCTCCTCAGCCTAAATCATGGACACCAAGTGCTCCACCACCAGCCCTGGCTCCCAGGATGCCACCACCGTCTAAACCATCAGGTGTTGGTGCTCTCCGTGGTAAAAGAGGTGATGCTTCCATGCAGAATCAAGGTTCTGTAGGAGGTATACCTAAAGCTGCTCTGTGTGCTTCTTGTGGAAATACTATAAGGTAAATAACTCGAACTTTAAGTTATTCCACCTTGTTAATTTCGATACTATGTTCTGTAATATGAATGCATCTAATGGAATAGTTTTTGTAACAAATGTAGTAAATAAGCCACTAATATGTCAAAGAAGTAAATGATATCCAAGATTGAAAATATGGCGTTGGTGTTAATGATTTGTTTAGATTGTTTACAAGGCAAAATTGATGAAAGATACAAATCACTATGTGTACGTCATGGTATTGATTTAATTTCTGTTTTGTATATTTTCAGGGGTCCTTTTGTTTTGGCTATGGGTAAGAGTTGGTGCCCTGAACATTTTGTTTGTGCCAATCCTCGTTGTGGCTGTAAATTGATTGATGTGGGATTTGTTGAGGAAGGTGGACATTTATATTGTGAGCAGGATTACGCTCAACACTTTGCACCAAAATGCCACAAATGTACTAGAGCTATTGTAGGGGTAAGTGATTAAATGGACAAGATGACAAAATCATACCTTAGTCTCAGAAACGGAAAGTTTTTTTAGCATGGCCAATCAGAAATAGTGTTTACAGCTCAACCTGAGCCTTCAAATCCATGTGTTTTAAGAATTATCCACTTTTGAATGTTAAAGTATTGAATTGGAGTAGGAATTGATAATAGCATAATCCATTGCCAGTGGGAATTGTTCAATACTTTAAAGAAAGATTACCAGGCAAGGTAAACATATGTCCACTCAACAACATTGTTAAATAAAGAGCAACATGAACGATAATGATTAATCTGTTTCTGTTCAAGACTCGGATAAGTAATCAAGTCCTTACTCAAAACCTTATCAATTCCAATGATCCCACAAAGTTTCAAATGGAATGAAAAATGGACATATTTTAAGTCAAGGGCAATAACTCAAAATCTTTTAGTAAAATGCAAACTTTTCCAATTTATCAAATATATGTATGATCACACAAACTTTTATGTGTTATTGATGTATTTTGACTTAGTCAAGGGCAACTTCTCATCCGTTTAAACATTCCAACAAAGAAATCCTCTAATTCGAAATGTCCAAGATCTTATCAATATATATGATCAGGCCAAATTTCACTTTAATCAGATGGAAACTGTAGTCTTACAAACAAATTTTACGCGTTTTGACTAAGTTAAGGGTAATAACTCAAAACCATTTACTGAAAAATATTAAAATTCAAACTTAACGGGGATCTTATCAATTCAAATGCTCACAGCAAGTTTCATCAAAATCGGATAAAAATTGTAGCTTCGATCGTGCCCACTAACAAATGTTGGTGCGATTTTACTATGGACGTATAAAAATGCATGTGACTCATTTTCAAGAAAAAAAAAATTCTAAGTATGCTATTAGCTTGATTGTGTTAGTTGAAATTATAGGTTTTAATTAGGTGATAGGACTGCACCTACCTAGCAGATAACATTGCAACTTGCTACAGATATTTAATTAAGATTGTTGTCACAATAAAATGGAACATACACTAGGATTTTGAAAAATAACATCATATTTCTTTGTCAGGAATGTGTAAATGCCCTGTCTCAACAATGGCATCCAGAATGTTTCCTGTGTGGTAAATGCCATCAACCAATTGGTGGAACACAGTTTCATATTGAGGAGGGTAAACCTTACTGTGAGAAAGGTATGTACCAGTATCTTAGAATTATATAAAATTCACATTAGTTTATTATTGAGCTTTAACATATCAATATGGATTATGAAACAACAGTGTTATGGATATTCTATTTACCTTACAAGGAATACATTCAACATCAATATTGAGTTGAGACACTATCAGATATTAACCATCTTAAAGCTATATATAAATAGAAGTCTAAATCCATAAAACTTAATGTGCTGTGATACTTCTAAATGTCTTATAAGGAATCAATATGGATGTGTTCAAGTTCATTTTACCTCCGTGTACCATATGAGGGAAATAAGTTTCACAAAGAAAATTTTAAAAATTCTGATGAATAAAACTACCTGGATTGGAAGGATTGAAAAGTTCTAAATATAACATCATATCCAAACTTTATATAGGCTTACTGATTTCGGGTCCGATAGGTACTGTTGCTGATAAGTCTATTAATTTATTCTAGATTGGGGAGCTATGTTCCAAACTATGTGTGCTGGATGTGAATTTCCTATTGAACCTGGAGACAGATGGGTTGAAGCTATGAGTAAAAACTTTCACTCAGAGTGTTTCTATTGTATGGTAAGTATCCTTAGCCTTATTTTCTTAAAAAGAAATTTAATCATAAATGACACTTGTGCATTTATATAAAGATAAAGTGGTCCACCATTCAATACTTTCTATTTTTTATTTAGTTGGAATATTGCTTGTACATGTATATGGTATGCAATGTGAATGAATGTTATACTTATGCTGAAATATCTTTAATGATAGACTATCATGCAAGAGCATATGCCTTGGGGAATGTTAATGGCTGAACTAATCGATGTGTTTGTTTCTTTTTCAGACTTGTCAAGTAAGTTTAGAAGGACAACCTTTCTACTGTAAGAGTGGTAAACCATTCTGTAAAAAACACGCTCGATAAATACAACTCTAGTTAGCTAGATAGATATATTAATAATTGGTGTGATATACTGGAAGTTTGTTGGTGTCTGGTGCCATGATGAATGAGCTTATTGCTACCTAACTCTTTGATGTGGCTCCAGAAATGGAATATTTGGTGTTCCTTGATTATGTGCCCCTGACTCTTTGATGTCTGTTGCCATCACTTCTCTATTTGACAACTTAAGGTTGATGAAGTTTTTTTTATCATGATCAAGTTTGAGCATTAATATATTTCAAACAAGATAGGTCCAATTAGAAATGTGTTGGCCTGTATCCTTAATGAAGTTTAAACAGTTATGTAATCTAATCTAATTTGAAGGCAGTAAGGTAGTTTAATTTGAAAATTTTTCTATGAAATTATTTTTCATGCAAATTTAGCTTTCATATTTTGTAATATCTATTCAGCAAGTGCCATATCGAATATTAATCCTTAGAACTTTGAAGTCTGTAAGCTTATACATCACTCTAAGACTAAATGACTAACAAAAGCTTTGAATTAGTCAAAACAGTCAGATGATGGCTACAAGGTCCAAAAGTTTAGTGTTCGTAGGGTTGATTTAAGACATAATATATGAATGTTCGGCAATATTTTTTCACTTTCTTGTACAAAGTGTAGTTATAATATTTTTATATGCAGGCATAAGTGGAGTGGGCTTTTACACTTTATTTTTAAGAACAAAAGGGTTAACTAATGTACATAGTGTTATATTAATTTGCGTGTTTGTTTTTCTTGGCATAATTATTGTATATAGGTAGGATGTTCCTATTATTAATATTATTATTATTGACCTTGTTAGTTTTCAGGCAGATTTTGCTATAATAATAAATAACATACATATCTAGTGGTAAACAAGGATATATTTAACCTTTGAAAAACACAAAACTTAATTATTGTCAAATGAAGTTCAATTCATATTTCTGCTTTAGAAAATACTGAGCTTTTATACTGGACTGAATAGTTGCATTAGGATAAAAGATCCTGGTCAAGGTTTAACTACCACCAATGTTCTTGTTTATATTTGTAGCAGAATCTGCCTAATATTGTTATTATATTATATAAGAGACTAATTGCATGATAATACAACAGGCTTTCATTAATTATGTTATTTATCATCCACATATATAGCAAAAAATAAACCATAAATTTTACAGATGGGTAAATGATACTGTATCAGAAATGAAAGTAATGTATAGGATACATGTATACTTTAACAGCAGGTGTTTATTTATTTATTTTTTTTTTTATGTAATTTAACAACATATCATTGAATATATTAAAGGTATAATAATGAAGGCATTATATCTGATTCAAATACAGCTCTTTACACTTCGAATTGAGGAACATGTTTCTGAATCAGAATAGCTTTACATGTTTATTTCAATATTACATTTTTAAATAGTAACTCTATATATATATTGTAGATATATCATGCATTTATTATGGCTGTGCTTTATTAAAATTTATTGATACCAACTTTATTACTGCCTAGAACTGCCTTAATTTAGGGTATATACATATTACTTTACTTAAATCATATTTTGATATAATATTTACATTGTGAATGTATTTATATTTTACTGGGAATAAGCAATTTGTACACCTGATCAATCAGCAAGACGTTAATGCCAAGACCAATCATGGTTCTCAGAAATTCTGGAATTAATATCACTCATCATGAAATTTTTGTCCCAAACTTTTACACTTATAAACACAGCAAAATATTATCACTTTTGTGAGAATCAACCATTTGTGGATATTGAATTTTCATGGTATTGCAAGGCAACACTTTAATTTTTTTTGTGAGGTTAGCAAGTTTCCAATTTAGATTAGAATTCAAGTTCCCTAATTGACTAATACCCTGATTCACAATAGTACTATAATATAAGGTTTAGATGTGATATCATTGTTTATTTTACTCCAAATTACATAGTAGGTCTGAATAAATTTGCTTTTCATAAACTATTTGTTGTTATATACCAACCAACATTTACTATTGAAGCATGTGTTTTCTGAATTCAATTTGCATTCAAAGCTGTCCTTGCCTTTGTGAGCATATACTTTCTGGAAAGGGATCCACTGGGTTTTGTTCCCTTAATATTATATTGAAGCTCAATGAATCTTTGCAATGTTTACCATCCCAGTTTCATAAGACAAGGAGCAGATATGAAAAAGCATTTCCTTGACAGTATGAAAGACTATCTGTCAAAGAAACATACAGCAGGCCTGTGCAACCTTTCAACAACAACGTGGGCCGTGGGCCACGTAACCAACCATTAATGAATCATGGAATTAACAATGAGAAACATGCAATTTTTTCAAGTCGTTTATTCAATAACGTATTTCAATGTGCATTGCAAAGAACAGACATATTCGACGTAAAATCACTGTTTCACTCGAGGTCAGACCTCGTTAACGATTTGATTGGTTAGATTCATTTTGACGTCATACTTTGATATAACGGGTTTCGATATCGGAATAAGCAGCGACAATCTGCGGGCCACACCAACAGTGGCAAGAACAAACGAAGTATTTGCTCGCCGGCCGCTTTTTCCTCAAATTTTACATGACACTGCGGGCAGCACGAAATCATATTACAGACCTGATCTACAGACATGTTCAAACACAAACAAGAGCAGTATATATTATATTCTGGTAGAATAGTTAATGAAACACTACAAACTAGAACTTGTACCATTTAATCATTACTATCTAAAATTATATTGGACTGCTCTTACTTATTTATGAACATTTCTTCTTGCATACAAAGATAATAAATTACATATGAATAACATTACAACATACTAGTTATTAAATAATAGTTGTTTTCAAACAAGAGGAATAAGACAAATTTGTTGTTGAGTGTTAAAGACTTAAAGTTGATTTGATTGCAATACAGCTTTACCCAGAAGGAGTATCCCCATCCCATATACTGACGGAGCAAAGCATACCAACTAATTGACAGAAAAGGGTGTTTTTTGCACCAATTAACGAGACAGAAATCAAAGAATGATTGAAGTAAAGATATAATAAATATTTGTGGTTCAGTGACTGAACAGTCTATGTACGAGAGGGTTTATTGGTTAAAGTATATTTTTGAAAATATGATCTATCTAATAAATTATCAGTCCAGGAGGCTGGCAGATACGGCTTTAATCTGGATAATAACTGAAAAATTGAAAATAATAAAATGTTTTTAGCATACTTTTCAATGAAATTGAAATCAAAAGCAAAAATACAAGTACACAAATATATATATTTCTAATATAACAGAATAAAATATATTGCCAGAAGAACAATAAATTTAAAATATTAAACATCAACCAGTATTAGATTGAAAAACTATTTTTTAATATGTCACATGAAAAATTTTGATAATTCTGGCAAATTGTTTAGTATCTTAATTCTTTAGTCCAAATTATCTATCCATTTTCTTTTGATCTTTTTGAACCCAAAAATTAACCGATTACATTAGTACCAGCCAATAATTTGTCAGTGGAAATTACTAAAGGTATAAAAATTGTAATTACTTACATTATTATAATCAATCCAACTGTTACCACCATCTACTAGATATCTTATAGAGGGATTAACATTATTAATACTGTCTTCCATAGCATCAATAACTGGTCCTAATGTTGTACATGTTGTTTTATTTAACGCCAACATTTTATTATATTGGGCTTCTACGTAATCTCCACCGTAAGATGTTTTAACTTCATATGTTGCTGAATCCCACATATCATCACAAGCTTGTCTCATTCTAGATACCTAAAATATATTTTTTCCTTTAATTAAGATTCTCAAGATTACTTTTGTTGTATGAATTCTCAGATTCAACTGGTTTTTTTTTTCATTAATACTATTGCAGATAGCAAGAAACTGATAAGGGAAATATCTGAACAATTTAACTGGAAACCAGTTCTAGTGAATACAGTACCAGACCAGTACTTTGATTCTGGAAGTTTGAGTATACAGACATTATACATATTGAATCAAAAGATCTACACAAATTAGTTAGAGGTTAACAAAAGGGCATTAAAGAAAATATTGATATAACAGTTTCCATTATTACTAGTTTGAATCTGAAATAATCATAGTTGCCCTTGTGGTGGGCGAGGAAATGGGGTCAATTGTTCGCTGCGTACATTAATTTGATTCCTTTTCTTTCCATTACACTACATTTTCATCAACTTACAGATTTTTCTCCCAGCATTCCAGTAGCACCATAGAAATTCCCAGGTTGAATGATAGAGACTTTAACACCAAACTGTTTCATTTCTAATCTGAGGGTATCAGAAAAGGCTTCAATAGCTGAGTTAGTTATACCTATAGCTGACTGGGCTGACTGATGTAATGGTGAAGATGTTGTATTGACTATTCTACCTATAAAAGAGATACCAACGAGTCATTGAAAGAATCTGAGATGAGTTTAAGTAAGTAGTCATTGGGAAGGAAAGTTGATTGCAAGTTAGATTGTGCTTAAAAAGTTACCAAACTTTGATCATAAGACACACACAAATTCTGTGATATTCTACATGAATCAGCTTTTTCATTACTCTAACTAGCATTATGAATAAACTTTACTTACCTTTGGCCTTCCTCACTAAAGGTAAAAATTTCTTGGTCATTTTAATGACACCAAACATATTGACTTCAGCTACCTGTTTATACATATCTTCTGTTGTTAGTTCCACATCACCCACAAAATTTATACCAGCGTTGTTCACTAGAGCCCATAAACCTGAAACACGGAACATTATTGATTCAATAGTGGTTATTTCTGAGCATTCTGTAATTGACTCCACCATCAAAGTAAGATACCAAAAGTGTGTAGTTAGATATATTTATCTTTTAGTCAAACATCTTAGATTAGCCCCTTCTTACAAATGAAATTGTTTCGGTCTAGATCAATTAGGTATTTATTGCAATCTTCATTACCAATAGAATTGGTTGCATATGTAACAAACCACCATGTAAATATTATATAAATATATGTAAATTTTGTATATCGTTCATAATCGTAATGTAATAATGCTTTTGTACTTGTAAATCTCCATGATTGGGGGACATAAAGCTATATATATATACCCTATTAGATTAATAAAATGATAAAAAAAATCATTACACAGCTGATAACATACTGACCTCCAGTTGAACAATCTTTATAAATAGTTTCATAACACTTCTGAACACTGTCATTATTACTAACGTCTAATTCTAGGACATGGAGTCTGCCTGTATGACTAGCTTTTAATCGCTCTACGCCCTCACTATTTAAATCTAAACAACCAGCATATACTGTAAACCCCATAGAATCTAATCTTCGAGCTAATGCATTACCAAATCCTACAAAATATTTACAGAAGATAAATTCATTGCTAAGTTATATTTCATGATGCCAGGGACCGGGGAAGGCATACCTCTTATTTGACACACAAAAAGAATGATGCTCAAAAATCAGATTTAGAAATTTCCTGTCTGTTTTAAGCATAGTCATAGACACATGGTAATGGTAACTTGGGTACATAGTCTCATTTCATAGATGTATGATGTATAATTACTTCTGAAATCTTGTTAAACCACTTAAAATGCTATTGATAGTCATATATTATATGTATAGGTTCATGTTTTAAAGTATTCTATATGAAAAAAGAATGACAAAAGCCTCCAGTGAAATAACTTCTTGATGAAACTAAAATATACAGACCTGAATCACAGCCAGTGATCAAAACAGCTTGACCATCAACTTCTATAATCTTTGTTATGTAACTCTTTATAATGTAAACTGCAGCCACAATACCAGATATAGTAACTATTGTTAGTCCTACTATCTTCTGGGCCAGTACATATGGTAAGAAAGCTAAAACCAACAAATAGATCAGCTCAAATGAATGTAAAGCCACACTCTGTTTTAATTCCATCTTCATCTTGAGTTATAATTTGTATATCTGAAATACAAAAGAAATATGGGTTTTCTCTACAATATCAGCAAGTAGAATGAATCCAGTAGTTTCAAGCAAGGTAAAATGTATTAATGTATACTTTGACAAATACAAAATTGCGGATTTCAGTTATTACCAAACGTCACCATTTTTTATCTGCCGAATTTCCTTATAATCCCAAGCGGTAATCGGAATTCCAAGTGTCGTCTGCTAGAATGTAGTCCAACGAATGAAGTCACATGATCAACTAGCCGATTCCATGTCAGCAGAAAATTTCTATGGAACACAAAGTGGATCATATTCTTATGTTGTTTCAGTGACTTTTAGCAATAAATCACTCTACGTATCTTATTTTGTCAGTCACTATTTTTTTTTTTAAATCGTGGTTCTTTAAAGGAGATGTCACTAGTTATAATGAATTGATATTAAAGATAAATACTTAGAGAAGTTAATTATACCACCCGGTATCCATACGTGTTTTTCTAGACTTATTTATAGATCAAACATTGTACACGAAAATAGGTGACGCATTCTGCCGCCGTTGCCGAGTTGGTTTCTCATGAAATATGGGTCAAAGTGAAGGATTCATAAAGAAAATCGAAATAAACCAATTTTAATTATTTTGTAGAATATCTGAGGAAACATCTAAGAAAAAATCGTTTTTTTAACTTTTAAATTCGGTGTTGAATCCTTATATCCACGAAAATAGGTTACACCAGTCACCACTGTACTAAATGAAGGTGCATATTACTGAACTTGGGAGTAGGCCTATCTTTGTCGCACAGTTTGCAGGATAGCAAAAAAAAAACCTTCAAGCTCTCTCACCTTTTTTACTTGTTGGGTTGCTGGACTTTGATTTACCTTGACTGATCGCTCCTAATTATGTCATCAACAGAAGATAGATAACAAATATCTAACTGTTTCTTTAAAACCCGTCGATCCGTCCAATTGACACTTCGTCATTACTTCAGTGGCCGGCCAATTTTTGTTGCCGATGGATACACTAATTTTTGGATTGATTGTAATTGTTAAATCAATAAAACGAAGAATTTGTAATTCATTTTATTATTCAAATAAAGCCTCTAAAAAGTCGTGCCCTAACTCGATCCGTCGCCCGTCTAGGCTACCGTACATTTCGAAGAATGTGAACAGAAATCATAGAAAACGAAATATATCGTCACACCTGATTGTGTCGCATCACGCTTTGGATACCTTGTCACATATCATTGTGCCGATACAATGGTATGATATATTTATATATTATAAGATGATTGAAATAAAGGTTGAGTCGAGTGCAAATCCAAAACCATATAAACAAGAATAAATTTGTTGAGAGATGGTATTTATTTTTCTAGGAACTGTTATCAAAACCTCTGTTTTCATTTCAAAATAATGAAACGATGTTTTATTTCATAATAAATGCTGGATTCAGTGAGATGATTGAAGAGGTTGTTTCTCCCATTTGTAGCTGTTGAAGCCGTTTGAGACTTGCTCGCTGGTCTGATAAGGTTGATATTGATGTTGAGAGTAATCGTATCCTTTAATTGGGATGAATGTTAAAGAGCCCTGATCTGGACTCACTCCACTAAAACATTTTATGCAAATGATCCAGGCTATTTTTAGAAATCTTCTTTCTCTCTCCCTTTTGAGGTTTTTGCCTGCCTATTTTTGGGTAAAATTTGGTCTAGATTTGGAATTTGATGTCTGAAATTGCATTATCTTTCAGATTTGTTGAGATGATGAGAGACTTAAAGGCGGAAGGCTAATTCTAAAAATAGTCGTTTTGTGAAGTGCCAAACTCTAGCGGATGAGTATAACCGGTAGTAGTCTACTTTCAATTTTAGTAGCTCAAAATTTTCATGGTCATCATATAATGAATTTTTTAGGAAACATTGAGAATTGGTCAGGCTTTCATTCGACATATTGGAAAGCTTTCAACGAGATTTCTGGAAAAAGTTATAGAAGGTTGAATTTCGTGTTTTAACATGGGAAGAGATGGCAAATGAATTAGTGGAGTGAGTCCGTCTAAACGATAAAGGTTATTTGTCGGAGTTAGCTCCCTTCAAATGATGTTGAACCATAGATATCTTATTTATCTACGATATCTATGAGCGTATTTGTTTCAACCTATTCGGGTTTGATTATCTAATCAAAGATTATGTCATAATCAAATCATATTTGAGAGTTGAAGCAAATACGTAGATTAGAAAACCGATATAGAAAATGGCCGCCGTCAGAAAGAGAGTTTGTGCTCCCGTTTTAGTCCATCGTTCTCATTAAGAAATAGATTAAGTTTTCAAAATTGTTTCTGTTTTTTTTTTTTTTTTTTTTTCTGTCCATTCATTTATTCATTTGATTTTTTTATTTTATTTATTTTTTTTTTAAATTCCCACAATTGTACATGTAGACTGTGTTATTCTTCATTTTCTTGTAGTTGTGTCAAAAAGTCATAATGGCCTAATGTCAATAATGATTTTCAAATAAAATCTTTATTTATTGCCTTTATGTGTTCAAGGCAGTAAAAATAAAACATTTTTATTCTTAACAAGTCTCCCTATCTCAAGTAAGTACTCAAGTTGGGTAATAAATATGACTTAAGAATGTGGTCTTCGATTTTACTCAGTAAATTTACTTGAGTAAATTTCCTGATTTGAGAAAAAAATTGTGCTTAAGAAATTTTTGTGGCCCCAGGGCAGGGTGTTTATTATGTGGAGAATAAGGTAGTTCCTAGAAAGCAGCGGATAGCTGTAATTTTTGGATGGGAAAGTTATTCCGAGCGATCAGCTCTTTGTCTTTGAACTCTTTAGATATTTAACCTTGTAATTGTGATACCATTTATACAAGACTGTATAATTACAACAATACACTTAAATTGCTATTGGACTCTCACAAGCATCTGGAATATATTCCACTATCACGTTCATGTAGGATATTTCCCAATAACCAGCAACCTGAATCGTAGAACAATACACATAATATGTGACCAAAAATGTTTTCCTGAAATCAACCAATCAAAACTGTGCCAATAAAGAAATCCACCATGAGTAAGTTTGATTTAATAGTATGAATTAAGACCAAAGAAAGATTTCTCCTTGCACAAATAGAAAATTAATATATTATTTCAAAATTGTAACCTTATTTTGCTGGTACTATAGCAGTTGTTTGCATTATTTCTTGTAGCCACTATAGAAACTACCTTTTTTACCCGATCTTGATGAAACTTGGCATGCCTGTACATATTGATCAGTCAAGTTCGATTCTCTTAAATTTCGAGTAATTGCCCTTGACTTAGTTAAAACGCGTCAAATTTGACTTGAAGCCACTCGAACTTGATGTAACTTGGTATATATGTATACAGCGATGGGATCTCGGTCAGGTTCGAAATTGGTAATAATCGGATGAACGCTTTCGGAGTTATTGAGTTGTTTTTATTTTTTTATCCGACCTTGTTGAAACCGGGTGAATGTGTGTATATACTGATGAGATCTCAGTCAAGTTCAAAATTGGTAACAATCGAATGAACGGGTTGGGAGATATTAATAAAAATGCGTCAAATGATAGAAGCTACGGTTATGAAACGTCTTATACATGTATATATATCGATGAGATCACAATCGAGTTTGGTAACAATACGATGAACGGCTTAAAAATTTAACTCTTGTGTTTATGTCATTGAGACCTTGCCTTGCCTTGACTTATATATATTTTACAGATTATGCGAAAATTCATCACGAAGCCACTAAATTTGGTAGTAGTAGGCGTATGCTACCTCGCCTGGCAAGCTATCTTTAGAATTGCAAGAACCACGAACGTCTGATATTGAAAAGGTGCAAATCGATGATATCATCCCCGATACACATAATTTTTTAGAAAACCTTTTTATATTCCTTTTAAATAACTTGCGAAAATTAAAACGGTCAAGAGCAGGACTTTGCATCCAAATGAGATGTTAATTCTTGTTACAGTTTTTATCAGATTTTGATGAAACATGCAATGCATATATGTATCTGCCTTATCTCACAATATGCAATATGTATTTGCAAGTCTTGATTAACGGTTTTATACGCCCCTATTAATTGTCAACACCATGTCAGTCATGCCAACCAACATTTCTTGGGAGCACAAGAGAGACTATAACAGTTTTTATTGTGATCGTGGACAAGTTTGATTTTGACGAACAGTTTTTGAGTTATTAGTCTTGACCTGGATAAATGCGTCAAAATTTGTTGGTGAGCACAATAGAAGCTACAATTTCCAAAGCATTTTTTTGAAGTTCAAAATTGACAGATTTTTCAGTTTCTATACGCCGACATGGAAATGTGGACTTAAAATGCCGTCGCCACTGCCCGTCGGTGCGTCCACATTTATTGTAGGCGGAATAGAGGCTACAGTTTTTATCCGATCTTGATGAAACTTGGTACGCATGTATATATTGATGAGATCTCGGTCAATTTCGAAATTCAAAATAATCGAATGAATGGTTTCGGAGTTATTCCCCTTGACTTAGAAAAAACGCGTCAAATTTGGCTTGTAGGCGCGATAGAGGCTATAGTTTTTATCCTATCTTCATGAATCTTGGTATGTATGTATTGATGAGATCTCGGTCAAGTTCGAAATTAGTAATAATCGGATGAACCGTTTGAGAGTTATTGCCCTTGACTTAGTAAAAACACGTCAAATTTGGCTTGTAGGCATTATAGAGACTTCAGTTTTTATCCTATCTTCATGAATCTTGGTATGTATGTATTGATGAGATCTCGGTCAAGTTCGAAATTAGTAATAATCGGATGAACCGTTTGAGAGTTATTGCCCTTGACTTAGTAAAAACGCGTCAAATTTGGCTTGTAGGCATTATAGAGACTTCAGTTTTTATCTTATCTTGATGAAACTTGGTATGCATGTATGTATTGATGAGATTTCGGTCAAGTTCTAACTTAGTAATAATCGGATGAACAGTTTGAGAGTTATTGCCCTTGACTGAGTAAAAACGCGTCAAATTTGGCAAGTAGGCACTATAGAGACTACAGTTTTTATCTGATCTTGATGAAATTTGGTATGCATGTATGTATTGATGAGATCTCGGTCAAGTTCGAAATTAGTAATAATCGGATGGATGGTTTCAGAGTTATTGCCCTTGACTTATTAAAAACGCAACAACTTTTTTGAAAGTTTTAACTAAAAAAATCCAGCTGTTTTTAAATACCAAAAATATTTTGAAACATTTCGTAAAGTTTTGAAGTTTGTTATGCTTTTAGGAAGCTACTAGAAAACTACTGTATGTCTCCTATACGTATTATAAAGGTTTCAACTAAATATAACGATATATAGACACAGCTTTATGGAACAACAATCACTGGTTAAAATTTTATGCAACGTTTCGACGTGTTTCCCCCGTCGTTCTCAGGCACATAATGAGAAGAAGTGATGGGCAAACTATATAATACATTATGCTTATTATTAAGAACACACAAGAGATAAATGGTTTATTGATATATTACATTAAATTTTAACAGGTACAATAAGAGATACATAATTCTTAAAATAACATACAGGCTGATTAAGTAAAATAATTGAAATAAAGTCAATGAATTAAAAAAGATTAATTGAAGATTAAATAAACAACTATTGCTGGTATTGGAGTCTTTTATTAATAGAAATTACATTGTTCATATAACTAACTATGCTTAAAGTTGGAAATTTTTTATTAAATACATTTATGAATATGAATAATTACAAGTTGATAAGTTTATCATATGCATGCGATAAACGAACACCTTCATCTCTGTTAAGGTCAGGCTGATATCTTCTGGTGTGGATAGCTTCATGAAGTCTCCTGGTTTTATCTATGTGCTTATTGATTGTCAGTATGTTGGTGTTGTCAAAGTTGACTTTATGTCCTGTTTTCCTTCCCATAGCAAGATGTTCAGCCACAGCAGATGTTTCTTCATTGCCGGGCTTGTCTTGATGGTCTTTGAGTCGAACATCAAGGGGTCTCTTTGTTTCCCCTATATAAGAACTTCTACAGGAGCACTCAACTTGGTAGACACATCCCTTAGGTTTTTGGTTATTGGAGGGATTCAATTTACCACTGGCTCTGAGCAAATCTTTAAGCGTTGAGTTGCCAGAGAACACTGTTACTTTCTTGATGTGTTGTAATTCTTGTTGAAAGTATTCTGGGTCACAAATCCTTTTTGCTCTTCTGACCAGTGCTGTGATGGCTGCCCTTTTGACATGTTGAGGGGTATTGGAATGGTAGTTCACATACTGACCTGTATGTGTAGGTTTCCTATACACGCATGTCTTCAACTGACCGCCTAACCGCTTAATTCTCACATCCAGAAAGGGTATAGAGTCATCTTCCTCTGCTTCCATGGTGAAATTCATCCTCTTATGCTGGGCATTAAGATGCCGAAGTAGAGTTGATGGGTCATCTTCAGCTCTAAGCATGACAAAGGTGTCATCAACTTTCCGGAACCAGCAGATTGGTGAGATCGGAGAGGTTTCCATGGTCTTTTCCTCAAAGGCAGTCATATAGATTTCAGTAATCAATGGTGACAAGGGGCTTCCCATAGGTAGACCGTGGATTTGTTCATAGATCTCATCTCCCCATGTGAAGTAGGTAGAGGACATACACATCTGAATGAGATCGACGATGCTGTCTGTAGTAAGTGTAGTATCTAGTGGGGTCTCTAATTTAGATATCTTATCTCTTATGATACTCAACACATCTTTACATGAGACATTGGTGAATAAGTCGACAACATCATATGAGTACATCTTCCCTGTGGTCTGCAGTTCTTTCAATTTGGTGACAAATTCTTCCGAGTCTTTAATGAATGAGTTAGCTGTTTTTCTTCTTCTCATTATGTGCCTGAGGACGACGGGGGAAACACGTCGAAACGTTGCATAAAACTTTAACCAGTGATTAATTAACAATTTTTTTAGTAACACTTTTAAAACAATTTTAGTTTGATGAAGAAGATACATAAATATCAAAATCATATTTTAGAAATATTTTCAGGTATAGGTTTTAGGGTGATGAAAACATTTTACAAAAAAAGCGGAATGTGCCTTTAATAGAGTGAACATAATGTTTCCTTCTGACACTGTGTCCTTTTAGGAGGACCTGGAGCAGAGTCCGATTATCTGGTCCAAGTTGAGCCTACTACATGTGATCAATAATTACTAAGCTATATACAGATATTCTACTATTATTCACCTTTCATCTGACAATTGTTGTAAAACATGAAAGTACTTGAATAATATATATATATATGCATTATCTGACAATTTTTGACTTTTTTTTTATTGATAAATATATACACAATATATATAATATTTCTACACGAATCATCTCAAACCCATTATTTTGTTTCTTACTTCATGACCTAGGCAAGTGCATTTATGAGAATACTATATTTTCATCTCACTTTAACAAAAATAGCTTATGTTGTAAAATTTATAACAATTCAGAGGGCATTATATTGGCTGTAGATTTTTTGAAAGCACTTGATTCTTTGTAATAGAGGTTTTTATATATCTAAATTGAGGCCATATATAGAATTTTTTTCAAATTATCAGTGCAATGAAAGATCAAATTATAAAGCTATGCCTTGTGTTGGTCAAAATAATTAGTTAAATAATTTTTTTACGATCGAACGTGGCTGTAGACTGGGAACACACTCCACCCTTATATCGCTTGACTTTGCGTGGAAATATTGGGGGTCCAGTTCAAAAAACATATTCAATTAAAAGAACTTAAATTTGGCAAAATTTGGTGTAAAATTATACAATATGCAGTTAATACTACTATTGACATATCTAAGACAAATGCAATTAGAATAGGTGCAAGCCAGAATAATAAAAATACATGCGCCAGATCAAACATGGACTATCACTATCCTTAAAATCAAATTTCATGCACATTTTGGATTAGGCAAAGACAAATGAATTAATTTACATACAATTTTGTTTATATTTTTACTGGAATTTTGTAATAAAAGAATAAAAACTCAAGATTTCAACGTACTTGAAATAAATGAACACACGATGTAAGTAGAAAACATGTCTAAACGAATAAAAGATCAGTACCACATAAAAGGTATATCCCAAAAAAGAACGAGAATTGGCTATTGTTACTGGGCCACTGAAAGTACCTGGCTATTGACACTGTACCGCAAGTAGTACTAGGCTACGTAACTTGAACACTGGAAGTGCTAGGCTATTGTAACTAGACCGCAGGTAGTACTATGCTATGTAACTGAAAGACTGGAAGTACTAGGCTATCGTAACTGGACAACGGGTAGTTTGACTACTAGGCTATTTTACTGGACCACTTATAGTAATAGACCATTGTTATTGGGCCGTTATCATTAATAAAATTCTCTATCGACATATTTATGATTTGTTGTTTAAATAAAAATTGGAATATAACAACATCTTAAGTTACAGATGTAGTTTTAATCTTCTGAAATCTTTTTTGAACTCTTGAAATTAGTTCATTATTTTTTTTTTGGAACGTGTGATCATCAGAATATGGAAGCCGCATATCCGGCGCCATCTTGAATCTGTAATGATGAAGCAAAGCATCCTTGGGATTTTTCACAGGACATGTTGTCATTTTGGAATTAGAAAACTTCTGGACACCATGTATCCACATCTGGTGTATTGTTTCTGGTCGAACTAACAGTTTGGAACGATCTCCTATAGTATGCAGTTTGGTATGAGTGGTTTTTAACAAAAATGTTAAACCCATCTTTTGAGCAATGGTTTTACCAGGGAAATCTACTGCACTATCTTTGAAGGTAATTGGGAAGAAAGCATTCCTGAACGATATGGCACCACAATAAGGGTGTTTACCAAGGATAGAGGAAGTCAGTGATTGCCATGAAGAATACATATCACTTACAACGATTTCGTCTACATCGGCAATAAACACATACTTAGAAACGTACATATTGCGCAAAATGCATTCATGCATATTAGACATTTGTCCAAAATAATGAATATCTTTTTTAAGCACAGGCAAATTCCACTGGAGTAGTGTGAGAACACCTTCATCTTGATACGATTTGAGAATTTGTTGTATTTTAGGTGTCATTCCAGTATAATTATACATTATAAAATGATTCATCCCAAACATTAAGTCACTCTCTAACATTTGTATCAAGGCATTTTGATCTGTGAAATTATAAAAAGCTGGAACACAACGTGTGAAATTTCTCATAAAATTTGACGGATATTGAACTGTTAGTTTATTGTTTGGCGTAAAATTTCTGTTCTTTTTGATTTGGGAATGTAGAACAATGGAGATTGCTTTTGGTTTCTCTGTTTTGGTCAAATTACATCTTATAAATCCTCCTTTATATCTGAAAAAATAAAACATTTAATAATTAGGAATGATAACAATACATTGCACCACACGATTCGCTTATTGTTAGCTTTCCACAAAGGCTAACAATTATACTGCTGTCAAAGGTCAGCAATGGGTCACATGTAGCACCATTACTATATTTGGGATACCTTCGACTTCTGTTTGGGGCATTCCCATTCTTTATCCTATGCCTGTTGTTACTGAAATTCAGAGAGAGATAACCAGAAATGACGCAGCTCCCGCAAAAGAATTCGTAACTATTATATTACGAGACTATTTAAAAGATGTCGATGTCTATATAGAGTTTTAGGCCAACTTTACTGGATCACATCATTAAACATCAAAAGAATCCATAAAGAGCTTTGAGCAAAAGTTGCACTGTATAGCTAACAGCGTGAAACGACATCAAAAATTATCAGATCATCACGAAAGTAGATAGGGATCATCTTCATAATGACACACACAAAATAAAACCAGAAGAATCTGTAAAGAATTGTAGCCGGTAGAGTGAGCACAAGCCAAATGTGAATGTTTTCTGTTACTATTTGTCATTCAATAAGTCAGACATGAAATTTCAGTGAAAATTACTAGACCATCACGAAAATAGATAGGGATCATGTATATAATGACATTGACCCACAAAATAAAAATAAAAAAACTTCACAAATATTGATGGTCCGTCATGGTGTTGCACATAGATTGCATTATTTTGTTATGATGTTGCTTTTTTCAAACTTGTTTTTTATGTTTACACTATATTTTTTTTGTATAACTATTAATTGATGTCAGTGTGTCATCTTTGTATCACTTATCATTGTGTATTATCTTGCATCATGATGTATGCTGCCCAAAAAGGGCGAACAATACAATATATAAATATTTATCTATCTATCTATTTAATATCTAATAAGATACCCCTGGCCAATATCTGCAGTAGTAACTTCGATAGGGCAAGAGAAATGTCGATTTTCAGGTATAACCATGGATTTATGAATAGAGTATTAGGCCTAATTTCATCCTTGTTAGCTATTATTGTTAGCCATTGTTGGCTGCTGCGAGCAGTGGATTATTAGTGAGGGTGACTCAACTAGAAAAGTACTTACTTATAACCCCAATTTGGTTCTGTGATATATTCTAAAGATGCTGGTAAATGGTTTTTAGAAGGGTCAGCAATGCAACTGTATCTATCTGACTTTAACTTTTCATCCAATCTATCTGTCTTTACAATCACAATCACGGTTATAACCGGATTTCCACGACCGTCATAAAAGGCTGAATATACAAATGTTTCTTTGATATCGTCGACAAGCTGGAATCTTGATTCTCTGTATTCATCTTGGTTCTTTGGTTTAGACGTTTGAGACAATTTCGCTAATGTTCTTGAATTTTCTATATTATTTAGAAACAGTTTCTCCTTGAAATAAGTTGACACAGAAACACTTTCGTTCAACCCCACAAGTAATTTTTGATTAATTTTAAGGTACCATTCGTTATATGAATAAAAAAGGCATATAATTAATCCAGAAAATATAATAAACTTAAAAAGGACTTTAATTCCTAGTCCTCTCATCATTGTCAAGCATTGGTTCACTTAAACGCACGACTTCACCTGCAATAGACAGTACATTTTATTTTTATGAATATATCGCTTGATTAATTTCCGCACACAGTGTATATGATATTTATATCATATAATTACTTCAGCTATACGACTGTTTGTTTAGCACGTTTATTTTCCTGATTTAAAGGGGTATTCCGCTTTTTTGATTTTTTTGATTGAAACATTCAGATACGTTAAAGATTTTGGTGTATAGTTTTCACAAATAAGAGCCAAAACATTTTTTGCGACCTGCAGAAAAAAAGCGGAATGTCCCTCAAATGTGGAGAGTTTCCCATGTCAGTCGGTCCTTCCAAATGATAAACCATTTAAACGATTTTATGGTTTTCACCGCCATGTGTTGTGGGTAGCAAACTGCTATTATTCATGTAGAAATAAGTACGACCTAACCAACTTGAATATAGGATTATTGATATTATTTTCCAATACAATAAGACCTTGCGGGTTACTCACAAAACATAGCAACGAAAACCCAAAAATTGTAAAACGCGTTCAATTTTTAGATGCACTCTAGAAACACAATAATTCTTTCAGGATTTTGACAAAACTTTGTAATAGGCTATTGTTCTTTATCACCCCTAAAATTTCGAAAAAAGTGTATGATTGAAGGTTGAATATTTCATACTCGTGATTGTTATTGTTATACCAAATATTCTTATTCAAAATAAAACCTGCCATTTTTAATTTCAAAAAGGCGCCCATCACAAGCCTTCAGACTGTGTTGTGTGTAAAGATACCCCGATAAGTTCACCAAATGCGGTTACCAACCTTTAATAGCTAATAAAGTAGAAGAGTAAGTCGTTAAACTTTATTATACGCCCAAATCGAAATGCGGACGTATATTGCCGTCGCACCCGTCGGTCCGTCAACATTTCTTCTGAACACAATAGAGAATACAGTTTTTATCTGATTTTAATGAAATTTGATGTGATAATGTATATTCATGAGATCTTGGTCGAATTGGACGATTTTTCGAAGAACGTTGCCCTTGACTTAGGAAATATGCATCAAAATTTGTTTGTGAACACAATAGAGACTACAGTTTTCAACTGATTTTAATGAAATTTGGTGTGATCATTTATATTGATGAGATCCTGGTCAAGTTCGAGTTTGACAATTTTTCGATGGACGTTTTTTGAGTTATTGCCCTTGACTTAGGAAAAACGCGTCAAAATTTGTTTGTGAACACAATTATAGAGACTGCAGTTTTCAACTGATTTTAATGAAATTTAGTGTGCAGATTTCATGTGGTGTTTATGAAATGTGTTGTGATGATTTATATTGATGAATGAAATGAAATGAATGGAGTTTTACGTCTTTTTATTTGTATTGATGAGACATTGGTCAAGTTTGAATTTTCAACGATTTCACACATAACAATTGTTTGCCCTTGATATCCTGTGTGATTTAATAATTTGATGTATTTGCCAATGGGTTATTGATATTGATTTTTAAAAAAAATTTGGAATTACTAAAATATATATCATTGAATTTAAACTTATAAAGTTTCTTTTATATGAGAAAATCTGTACTTTAGTCACTAAATACTATTTTATCATTTCTGACAGCTGCCAGTGGGCGTATGTTACCTTTCCTGGCAAGCTATCTTTTACAAACCTATAAATGCTGATTTCTCTATATCCAAACATCGGCTATAAATTTGTTTCCGATGTCCAAAAAAAAACAAGCTGATAGCTGCCAGAAAAAAAAAAACAATCGTACATGTTTTATACACTCCAATTAAGAATTGAATACGGCCACGGGTGAATTCGTTTGTAACTTTGTAACAGACACCAAAACAGGTTAACAGTCGATATAGATCTATAGTAAATAGCATAGATTTGTGATGGGCGCCATTTTGAATTAAAAATTGTTTCTCTCTCAGATGTAATTCATAAAAATGTACGTGTAACACATAATATTGCAGAACACTCACTATAGCTAGACACTGTTATGAACGTCAAAACATAATGTTGGATCCAATGATAATTCTACCTGTATTTTTCTTTGTGCTCGGGTAATTTCCCGATATTTTATTATTTTTCGAGTCGCTACCCCCCCTTTTTTTCTCTATGATTTTGGTGATATCAATTGGTAAAATAAATTTTCAATGTAAATTTAACCCTACTTGTAAAGTAATTGACATGATGATGAAAGCTGTTACATATAACGACCGTTCGATATATCGGGTGATCTTGAAAAAACGATAACACTTTTCATAAAGTATCAAAGTCAATTATACAAGTCATCTTTTCACACAAAATTAGCTTCCTGGGTTGAAACAATTTCAAATGGCAACATTTTTAAAATTCCTTAGCCGAAATTAATCATTGTCATTTTACTACCTACTAATGCCAATAGTTAATGGTGAGCGCAATTTTCAACACAAACTGCCCATGAACACTTTTCCCAAGATAAAATTGCCTGAGGATGAAGAAATATGGGGTGTCTTAATATAAAAAGATCTCCCGATTGCAATCCGAAAGATTACGTTGTGCCGGAAGTTGAGAAAGTTTACAATGGATAATCAAATATCTTTAAGAAACAGGATATCAAAGACATAATTAGGGATTAATGGAATGAAATACATCTTGACGAAATCCTGAAGACAATTCTGACATTCAATGAACAGTTTGTACTGAAATTTGTGGTCACGTAGCCCATTTATTCAATTAAAAGATGGAATTAAATTGAAGTGAGATTACAAAAAGGCTTTCGGCAAGGAATATTTAAAATTGCTGCCATTTCAAGCTAATTTGAAGCTAAATTTTTTGTCACAAGATGTGTCTTATATCCATAATTATGAGGTTTATGACTGTAGTTTTGGTAAATTACGACAAGATACCCTGTGCGTTGTTGTGTCGCACACTACCCGACATCGTGCCGTAGCGTGAGTTTCAATGGCGGATCAAAATGGGGGCAGAGGGATCAGCCGCCCCCTAGTTTGTGCACGACATCTTGGCGAAATCTGCACACACTTAGTAGTTTTATAGTAGGCTATAAATTTATGAAGTCCTACAATTGATTTACTGAGCACTATTTTAACACTGAAAATAACTTGTTATTGTTATTCAACATCTAAAATAAAATTAAACAATTGCCTTTAACGTTATTTTGACAACACCATTCAAACATTTTCATCTTGATTATATACTAAGCTCTGCAACAAGAAAACTATCCTACACATTATTTGAACTTTCTTCTATTTTAAAGAAAACTTTCAAGGCATAATTTTCAATATGAGCCGATCAGGAAAAAACAAGTCCTTAAAGATGGGTTTCCTCATTTTTTAGTCTCAAATTAAGCAAACTTTTTGATGAATTGGTGTTTTTAATGAATTATCATGTATTCTTAATCATATCATTTTGTGCTTATTGCATATAACTAAAGAGTTTTAACCAATCATAAATGTCCATATATGTACAGTCTGGATAAACAAAAAAAGACTTTTTGACCTTTCTTGATCGGGCCACTCATTGGAATTCTGGCGGTAATTCTCTTCTAATTTAGCGAATTATGAATTAATTATGGACATGTGAGACAAACTGATATTTTTGCAAGTCATTAGAATACATCTACTTTCTATTCATATAAGTATTAGCATTTTCATTTTCATAAATGAAAATAAGGGAACCCACCCTTAAGCTTTCTTTAGAATGCATCTTAACTTTAAATAAGTATAATTTACATCTTAAGAGCCATTGACATTAGTAGTAAAATGATCAAAATTACTTAAAACTTAACCCAGCCAATAGAATTTTCTATCTACTTGACACAAAGACTGTTGTCACCAATTTGAAAATCCTGAGCATTATTTACACTTTTGTCCGATACATTCAGATGCCCGTAAAACTACCCTCTACCTGTTAAAACCTACTGATTTTTCATGTTCACGTTAAAGATCCCTCATAATTATGTGATCTAACGACAACTATAAAATGTAGGCTACCAGGTGAAGTAGGCTATGTTAGCCTATTACGTGAAGAAACACGAGATAATGTAGGCCTACCTAAAAAATTGAAAACCCTACGCGGCCAAATCGCATTCCAACTGTAGGGGCGTCCACCGTAGATACCGTGGCGTTTCCCAAACACTTCCCAGTTATTGGGTTCTCAATAGCCGATATCAGACCAAAATATGGAACAAAAGTTTTTATAGAACAGGAAAAGAATGATCGTCATAGGATCGCGGTTCGAACCAAGTAAACCATAATCGTTTTTAGAAAAAAAACGGAAAACCAACAAGCTTATGGTGACCTTAACACCTTATAATTTTCTGTCGCTGCTACAGCGCAGTTAGGTGTCGCATGGCAATCTGCTATAAAGAAAAAAACTGTTGTTCGTTACATCAGGTTAAAGGACAGCTAGTTGGTACCAATTTAACGTGGTGGGATCGGTATGAGACCTTTGGTGGACGCCCCTTCTAAGCCCGCATAGATCTTCATGGTTAGGAAGGCGCCGTTGCGCATTAAGTTTATTAGCTGCTTTTGGTGTATTGTCACATACTGTTTAAGGCCATACCAAGATAATTTTCTGTTTGTCGAGAATTTCATATCCGATATAATGTCTGGAAACCAGATATAAATATTGTTTTCGAATAAAATCAAAACATGCTACACACGCTCCAAATATTAGATGAAAACTGGTACAAGCGTTTCATTATCTGTAATAATTTCAGCAGGCCTTCAAATTAGCTACAAACCTGGTAGAATATTGGTGGGGATTACGCAACTAACGAAGATACATAAAAACGCCACCCGATGATTAACCTTAGAGTTATCCCGACGAGGCTTCTTGCGTAGCCTACTCCCCCATGCTACCCTACTTCGTTAGAAGAATGGAATGTGCTTAGGCCAAGTTTGCCGAAAAGAGTCTTCACATTAATTCTAGAAGCCTAATTATCGTTGTCATATTCGTTAGTAGGCTATTAAGCCCAAGTGTTAAGTCTATTACTTT